GACGACCGATACAGTGCGATACAGCCCGGCACTGACGTCACCGGGCTCGGATTCTCGCTCCCCTTTCCTCTCTCTCTCTCTCTCTCTCTCTCTCTCTCTCTCTCCTCTCCCACTTGTTGGCGCCCTGGCGGTGCGCTGCCGTAGCCGAGGAGCTGCGCCGCGGTCCGCGCACTGCCCCGTCGGAGGGGAGGGGGAGGGGGAAGGGGTGCTAAGGAAGTGGGGGATTAGGGTTTGCTGGTCACAAAATCGACAAGGATACGAAAGGGGACGGGGCGGCGGGGGGGGGGCATGGCGGCCTTCCTTTGACCCGAGCGGAGACCCGGGGCTCGGCACCCCGGGGGACCTGGCACCAACCGGCAGCAGCAGGAGACCAGGATGTGGCCAGCAGATAACGGCCGATCGAGTCGCGGCAAGTCGGTGGCAAAGTCGGAGAACCGAGGCGCGGTTAGCACGCGCTGTGGCTGCGTGAAACATTATAGAAGCGGCGTAGCCTTTGCTGGCTCATTTTGTCATTTTCCATCATGCTTCCACTAAAACCACCCTTTTGTACCCGATTTTCCGATTTTCTCGACTTTTCTTAGAGACGCGTCAACTCCGTTGTGGCGCCACTGGACAGCAGTGCTGTCACACTTGAGCAGAAAAAATTCATTCTATGTACATGCAATGCAACAGTGTCGAAAGGTTTGCCAACTTTTAGCTTGGCTTTAGTTGTCTTGTAGGGAAGTAAACAACTTACGCCACCAGTGCAAGGTGCGCATTTTGGCCTAGTCATTGACGGCACTGCGGGTGGACAGGGCGACGGGGCCGCCAGAGAGAGAGAGAGAGAGAGAGAGAGAGAGAGAGAGAACTCCGCTTCGACGTATTTCGTGTTGGCCCGACCCCGTAGTTTCTTTCTTCCTGTCTTTTTGTGTTCTCATCCCATTCGACTATCGGACAGCGAAATTAATACCACACTCGCCGGCAGCCGGTAGGGGAGCGGAGGGCGGGTTTTAATCAGTCCCTGGTGCAGCGCGAGAGAGACGGAGCGATGATGATGATGATGATGATGATGATGACGATGACGATGAGTGCAGATCAGGAGCCTGCCTGCAGCAGCAGCGGCAGCCCAGCCTAGTCATAACCCGTAAGAAACGGCCTACGTGTATACGCGGTGTGCGCCACTCCCTCCCCCCCCCCCTCTCTCTCTCTCTCTCTCTCTCTCTCTCTCTCTCTCTCTCTCTCTCTCTCTCTCTCTCTCTCTCTCTCTCTCTCTCTCTCCCACGTCGTGACACGCTTCCCGCACGGCCTCCGAGGCGTGGCGGGGCGCTAACTCTGAGTAACGCGGCGGCGCGGCGCCCCGTTCACGTTCACGGCCTCCACGGCGGGGAGGGCGCGCGCGGAGCAGGCGCTGCAGACTGATTCCGAGAGTCGTCGCTCTGTCTCTCTCGCACTCACGGGGCGTCCCGTATGGGTGCGAGAGAGACAGAGCGACGAAAACGACTCTCGGAATCAGTCTGCTGCACTACGACGGGCAGGGCCTCCTTACCACCTCGATCATATCCCCCTCCCTCCCCCCAGCTCCTGCACCGTTAATCATTCATCGTGAGCCATGCAGCCATGCAACAGGCCAGCGGGACCATGAATCACACCGCCCGCCCGCGCGTCAGGTAATAACATCAAATATTCCGCAATCTCAGCCGCCAGCCGCGCGGCGCGGCGCGCGGGTTCAACTCCCGGCCAAGTTGAAATATGAAACCGAATTTGGGCGCCAAGTAGAGTGACGTCACGCCCTGTCGCTCTGTCTATCTCGCACCCTCCCGCTACGCCCTATCAGTGCGAGAGAGACAGAGCGACTGTTCGGGATCAGTCCGCAACCTGCTCGCGGCCGCCGCGCCGTCGGGCCGCACGGCCAGTCAGTTGTGGTCTAGCCCGTAATGGTAATGGTAACGGAACGCCCGGAGGGTAGGCCGCGCGAGTGCAGGGAAGCGTGCGGGTTGCCTACCCCGCGTCTCGCAGGCTGAATGGTCAGGCCCGCCAGGTTGGGCCAAGCAGTGTGCCTCTTCCTTCCACCTCCTGGACGCTGCTGGCGCTGCTGGGCGCTCCCGCTGCACAGTGGGCCAGAAGGCCAGTGGAGGCGGCCAGAACTCTGGACGCGTTTTGAGCTCCAGAGTCGCTAAACAGGACTCGAACCGAACGTGTGACCCCACCAATGGATTGCTCTCCGAACGAGGAATCCATTGGTGGGGTCACACGTTCGGTTCGAGTCCTGTTTAGCGACTCTGGAGCTCAAAACGCGTCCAGAGTTTTTGCCGCCTCCACCGGTCTTCTGGCCCACTGTGCGCTGCCGCCAGGGGCCTTTCAGCCGGAAGCACTCAGCACATCCCACAACCCGCAGACCGTTCGGATCGAATCCACATTTGGCGAGACACGTCGTCCGGGCCTATAGGCAGCACCGCCAGCACCCAGCCTCAGCCTGCTGCCGCGGCGGCAGCCTGCGCACCGATTCTCTGTCTCTCTCGCACCGATACGGTGCGCCCCGTGAGTGCGAGAGAGACAGAACGACGGAAACGACCCTCGGAATCAGCCTGCTGCTGCTGGCGCCTCTCTATGGTTCCTGAGAGAGACGTGCTGGCGCCGTTTGTTGACACTCACACACACACACACACACACACACACACACACACACCACGCACAGACAGTCCCTTTCACACAGACACGCGTACGTGGAAGGGATTGTACCTCCCGACTAAATCCACTCGTGTTCGGCACGGCAAGCCCAGGCAAGCCCAGGCAAGCCCAGGCAAGCCAAGGTGGCAATATGAGGGCCTGTTCCACACAAACGCCCGCCTCTCCGACTTAACAGCGGAGCAGCGCGGCCAACCAGTGGCGCGGAAGTGTCTCGGCCAAGCCGCAATCTCCGGCAAGGCGACGTGGCGGACCACAGTGGGCCAGAAGACCGGCGCAGGCGGCCAAAACTCTAGACGCGTTTTGAGCTCCAGAGTCGCTATTAGAACACAAACCAAACGTGTGACCCAACCAATGGATTCCTGTCGTTCAGAGAGCAATCCATTGGTGGGGTCACACGCTCGGTTCGAGCCCCATTTGGCCAAAGACTCTAGAGCTCCGATTGCTTCTACAATTCCCCCCCCCCACCCCCTCCCCCGGTCATCTGGTTCACTCTGCGGGCCACCTGCACGTCGTACTTTACAGTGCGGAAAATGGGGTACGAAAAAGTACGTACATTTCCGTACTGGCTCTCCGTAGTCCTCATAAAGATCTCATGAGAACTGATTCGCAGAACATGTACGGAACCTCCGCAGTTAGCAAGGCGCGGACGCGGTCCAGAGTAGGGTAAATAATTGACCGGACATGTTTCGTTCTTTCTGTACTTTTTTCTACCAGTGTGCCTGCGTTCGCCACCCAGCTACTCAGGCCGCGCCGAGAAATCTCTCCATGTCTCTCCACTCTCTTTCTCACTCTTTCTTTTTATTTCAAAAATTTTGTTTTGCGTTATTTTTTGTTTGCCCATTGTGCTGCTCGCGTTGGTCCACTAGGGGCGTGTTGTCCAGCCGAACATAATGAATGAGAATTTACGCACATGAGCCTTCCTTTTCCCCGCCGACGCGCCTCTCCATATCATGAAACATGAAAGATGAAACAACATGAAACGCGAATCATGAAACACGGACAGGAAAATAATTCGCGCTCACAGTGGCGCGACCACGCGCACTTTGCACTTAGCAGGTGCGGCAGGCAGTCGCTGGCTGCCGCATAATTTCAAAAGGGGGTGGGGTGGGGGCAAAAAGTTTTGCTGAGAGCAATGACACACGTGTGTCTGTCTTTTCGTCTGCCTGTCGGGTGTCTGCGCTACATGAAGTTAAAAACACAGTTAAAAGCTCTCGACGTTGTCTCCTTCCTCCTCGTTCCAGACACGGGTCCATCACTACAAATCCAAAGGTCAGACTTCTCGCCACTCCAGAGGCAAGACATAAAAGTCTCGCCAAGATTTGGTCAGACCTGAAAGTCTCGCCAAAATTTGGTCAGACAAGAAAGTCTCGCCAAAAAACGGTCATACACAAAAGTCTGACCCCAAAATGGCGAGACTTTTGTGTCTGACCGCTACCTAAAGGCCGAAATGCGCCGGACGGTTACGGCCTAAAGGCTGTGGTCAGACACAAAAGTCTCGCCATTTTGGGGTCAGACTTTTGTGTATGACCGTTTTGTGGCGAGACTTTTTTGTCTGACCAAATTTTGGCGAGACTTTCAGGTCTGACCAAATCTTGGCGAGACTTTAATGTCTCGCCATATTTTGGCGTGAAGTCTTTCCATCCAAATTGCAGTGATGGTGCTAAAGGGGGTGATTTCTCCCTCCTTAGGCACCAGGCACCACCTTCTTCTTCTTCTTCTTCTTCTTCTTCTCTCTTCTTCTTCTTCTTCTTCTTCTTCTTCTTCTTCTTCTTCTTCTTCTTCTTCTTCTTCTTCTTCTTCTTCTTCTTCTTCTCCATCTCCTTCTCCTTCTCCTCTTCCTCCATCTCCGCGCAGCTGCCCCAATCTCCCGAGCAACAGCGCGGCTACTACAACTCGGCCCTCCCTCGAGTTTGGCCTTTTGGAGTGAAACGACAATAGAATAAGTTTATTGCGCCGAGCGGCGAGCGTGCGCGCAGACAAACCGCTTTGTCCTCCCGTCGTCCGTCCGCTGCCGGTCCTGCATCGCTCCGTCTCCACGGAACGACCCCGGCGTGCGAGAGAGACAGGGCGACGAAAGCACTGTTCGAAGTCAGCGTCCTGTCCTGGTGCTGTGCGAACTCCGCCCCGCCGCCAAGAAGGCCGCCGTCGTCCGCCCGCGGCGTTCGAATGCCATCGCCATCGTCTTGATATTGTTGTTGTTGAAGAGGTTCTCGTGGCCGCTGGCCCGCGCCGTCATGTTGTTGTTGTTGTTCTCTTGGCCGCTGGCCCGCGCCGTCATGTTGTTGTTGTTCTCGTGGCCGCTGGCTCACGCCGCCATGTTGTTGCTGTTGCAGAGGTTCTCCTGGCCGCTGGCCCGCGCCGTCGAGGAGGATGAGGTGCTCAAGGTGCACCTCATGTCGCACAGCCGCTTTCTCGGCAACCGCGTCCTCGGCTCGCTGGCCCTGGTGCTGCAGCAGGTGCTGGAGGACGGCCGGGTCAACATCACCGAGACCCTGGTCGACGCCAACCACAGAGAGCTCCCGGTGAGTGCAGTTCTCGTCGCCAAGATGCATGCTAGTCCTCTCAACCCGCAAGAAATAAATCCGGTGAGTTATTATTTCTCGTGGTGCAGGCCACCGTCTCCGTGGAGGTGTCCTACCAGGCGCCGGACGCGTCCACGGCGTCCTGGGCGTCGGGGCCGTCGGGCTCCGAGGCGTTCCACGGCCTCGAGGACGACCAGCAGATGCTCATCGACATCGAGCAGAACATCGCCAACCTGGAGCGCTCCCTGGTGCAGCAGCAGTGGGAGCAGCAGGGCGGCGCGGCCGGCGAGCAGCCCCGGGGCCAGGGCGGCCAAGGCCACGGCCAGGGCCACGGCCAGAGCAAGGGCCGCGCCAGGTCGCTCAAGCGGGCCGACTCGGCGGCACAGCCCCACGCCGCCACGCCCAACGCCTCGCCGCAGAAGTCGCCCGCGCCCGACAAGAAGGGGTGAGAGAGAGAGAGAGAGAGAGAGAGAGAGAGAGAGAGAGAGAGAGAGAGAGAGAGAGAGAGAGAGAGAGAGAGAGAGAGAGAGCGAACGCAACGCAGCCATAACGCCGAATGCCCGAATTACCATGCAAAGCTGTCGATACTCGTTGCCGCCAAAATTGGGGCCATAAATAAAACACGAGGATAAAAGCGCGCCACGTCTCCTTCTTGTTCTTCTTCTCCTTCTTCTTCTTGTTCCTCTGCTTCTTTTCCCTCTTCTTCCCGCGGTGCAGTTGCTAATGGCGTCACCGTGGTGGTCTTGGACTGGTCCTGGTCACATCAAGGGCTGTCAGGCTGGCTGAAAGAAAAAAAAGGAATGCGACTCGGTATTCGAACCCGCGACTTTGCAGGCGGAGCGCGCTGCGGGGCATGCGGTCGCTGATGCGGCTCGGCAAGTCCCGCCACAAGGAGGCGTCCAGCGACACGGAGGAGAACGCCGGCTTGCTGGAGGGCGGCCAGGGCACCGCCAGCGGACAGCTGTCCAGGGCGTCGTCGCAGACCTCGCTCTCCTCCAACGAGAGCCAGCAGTCCGTCAGCGTGGCGGAGCGGACGCCCACCAAGAAGTGAGTGTTATCAGGGGTACACAGTAAGTAGGGGGTACTACCACTTGCAAAAGAAAGCGACCTCCCGGCCGGGCCCGGCGCTACCCCGCACTCAGGTAGCTGCTGGAGATCCCATAGCCGCCTGGACGCGGGGTAGTGCCGGGCCCGGCCGGGAGGTCGCTTTCTTTTGCAAGTGGTAGTACACTGTCTGCCACCCCTTCCACCATCCATACCACCACCATCCCTACCACCACCATCCCTACCACCATCCCTACCACCATCCGTACCACCATCCATACCACCATCCGTACCACCACCACCATAACACCACCAGCATCCCTACCACCACCAGCATCCCTACCACCACCAGCATCCCTACCCCCACCAGCATCCCTACCACCAGCATCCCATCCACCACCATCCCTACCACCACTATGTATGTAAACCAAGGCTGGGTTTGATCGCATCTCTGTGCGGTTCCAGGCTCAAGATGTCCCAGGTGGTGACGTCGGCGCTCAAGGCGCAGGACTTCCAAGTGTGCCTGACGGTGATCGAGGCCCGGCAGCTCGCGGGGCTCAACATGGACCCCGTGGTCTGCATCCAGGTGGGCGACCAGCGCAAGTACACCAGCGTCAAGGAAAGCACCAACTGCCCCTACTACAACGAGGTACGTCGAATTTGAGAAATATGCAGATTGCAGATAAAAAAGAGACAAGCAGAGAATTTACTTCTATCCCTGACAAAATATTTTTCTTCCACGTTTTTTTTAACAGTACTTCGTGTTTGACTTCCACATGCCTCCCATCATGCTCTTCGACAAGATCATCACCTTATCAGTAAGTAGGGAACTCGCATTCCAGTTCAAGCATAATGTTTGGATGCCTCTTGAGCAGACGAAACAGAGAGCCGCAGTGATTCGGTGTCGAAATGGTCTGCCTACCTCAACCTGCATACTGACAGCAAAGTTTAGAGTTTTGCCGTGCGTAGAGCAGCCCAGGTAGACAATCGTCTCGATGCCGATGTGCGTGTGGGCGTGTTTGGATCCCCAAGAGGCAACACTGCAAATTAAAGTAATGGCATCCTATGAGCAAGCTGATGGGAAAGAAAAACATTTAGGCCATTTTGATAATGTATACTTTGCATACAAATTGGTCGTGTGTTATAGGTGTTGCACTCTAGGACTCTGTTTTTGCGGTGTGGGACCGTAGTCGGGTCTTTCAAGATTGATCTGAGGACCGTCTATGACGCCCCCGGTATACACATCAGATACATCCGACTTTTCTTTTACATCACATACCCATATATTTCGTCGTGTTTTGTGACTTGTAGCCACTCGGGGGAACAGCGAGCCGAGCGGGCCTGTCCTGAACTCTTTCATTTATCATTCATCTCTTTGCTCAGTGGGTCAGAGGACAGGCGGAGCCGGCCGAAACTCTCGACGCGTTTTGAGCTCTAGAGTGGGTAACCGAACGTGTGACTCCGCCAATGGATTCCTCGTTAAAGGGGCAATCCATTGGTGGGGTCACACGTTTGGTTCGAGTCCTGTTTAGCCACTCTGGAGCTCAAAACGCGCCTGGAGTTTTTGCCGCCGGCGCCTGCCTTCTGGCCCACTATGGTGTTGGTGCCCGAGTCTCGCTTTTCCCCCGAATCGCTTTCTTCGACTACATTCTATACCACTCGGTTACCTCTGTCGTCTGTCCAATAAGCGCCTTCTTCGAACGTGTCGTCCTCGACACCGCTAAAAAGTCCACGTCACACCGTTCGATTCCTGTAATTTCGCACGCTGGTTTGCGTAGAGTTGTTGGCAGCAACGAAGCATGTTCGTGTACTACCTTGTCGCGAGGAAGCGGGCCGAGCCTCATGGGCCGAGCCTCATGGGCCGAGCGGGGCGTTGTCGGCGGTGACGTGTCTCTGGCTCACCTTGCGGTCGTCTGCCCTGTCCTCCGCAGGTCCTGCAGTCGAGGAACATTCTCAGAACAAACAAAATGTTGGGCAGCTTTAAATTAGACGTGGCCACCGTCTGGGCCCAGCCAGGTACGACAGTTTGGCAGTGCTGTGGCCGGTGCTAGCACACTGCTGCCCACGCCGTGTGCCTTGCCGGCCTCGCCTTGACGGCCTGGCCTCGCCACACGGACGACCCTCTCTATCTCTGAGAGACCAAATTTCAGTGGACAATGTCAGTACTTTGGAAAAGGTGGTGTTTACAGGCGTGTGCTAGGACCGAGGTCACCCGAAATCCAATTCGCTGTGAAGTAGAGCGTAGACTGCCCTTGGCGAAATACCCCCTCCCCTCCTTTTTGCCTGTTCTGCAGCCTGACGAATACCGCGAACAGGACGGGCCGGCCGCGCGTCAGGGGATGTAGATTTTGTGCTTGGAGGTGCTTGATGCGGCAGTAATGGCGGTTGGAACGAGGACAGCGGAGACTTAAAAAACATAATCCAGCCGGTGTTTGAACCCAGGCCCCGAGGGTGTCGAGCCCCACTCTAAAAGGCATAGGCCACTTTTTTTGACATACTCTCCCTTCATGTTTATATATTCCCTTTTTTCGTTCGTTTTTTTCAAAGGTTCCGTTCGTTAAAGCTGGCTATCCTGCTAGAGACTGACCCCCGCACTCTCCCGGCCGGCGCAGGGGGGTGACCATGGGGCGACCCTGGCGCCCTCAGGTCTCGGGTTCAAACGCCAGCACCACTGTTTTCTTTTCTCCGCACCGTTTGCTCCTCACCTTGATCGGATCGACCCCGATGAACCCCATCAGACCAGACGCCTGACTGCTGAGTATCGGTAGCGCCCCCTCCCCTGCCCTGTTCGCCATGAAACTCTCTCGTTGTTAAATGCGCGTCCTGCGAGACGCAGCAGCACCGTAGTCCAGAATTCTGATTCGCATGAAGTTTCCTTCTCGCTTCTCTGCATGCGTCTCACCGAACTGTTCTCTCTTTCCACTAGTGGCACTGTGTAAATCGCTCATCCGTAGCCAGAGCACCTCCTGTGGACGGACCCTTTTCCAAACCGTGCACTGGCGTGGATTCCTCTCACTATCGGTAGCACCTACTTTCGGTACTTCACTTTCCCATTATCATCACCAACTCTCCTCGCCTTGTCTTGCTCTCCCGCGGCATGCTTCCTTTTATGTTTGTCTCAAGTGATATTTACTTAATTGCACTATTATCCTGACATCGTTTTATATTGGAGGTGCCTCTGTTGTCTTTGTAACGTATTAATCGTTGTATTTCTTTAAAAACGTAGTAGCGTTAAAACGGAATGATGTTTTCAAGTCTTAAAAGACAAGCACAGTCTAGCGCTGAACTTAACATATTTTTAAACAGTAATAAGTGCATTGCAAATCCATTTGTAAGTCTCCTTGCCACTCTACACTGGCAATCCAAGTGTGAGACAGTCTCACACTATTTAGTGCGAACCACGCGGAACCACGATGTCTCACGCTTACAAGTGTGAGCCACGTGTGTCCCACGCTTGCAAGCGTGAGACATCGTGGTTCGCACTAAATAGTGTGAGACTGTCTCACACTTGGATTGGCAGTGTAGTGGTGGCACCTCAGTTTGAATGCCAAAAATTTGACCTACTGGAACCACATTGGCCTCTGAAAATACCGAAATTTGGCACACCAGCGGTCTGGTCCACCAAATATTGGCGCGCTCCGGGGCGCTCCGGGTAGCGACACTGGAGTAGCAAGGAAACTTACCTATGGATATACAGTGCAATGGTGTGAATCAATAAAACATTCCGGGGGCACCTCCGCGCGTGGCCGCGGGCCGCGGCGCCAGACGAACGCGCTGACGCCGTACTCCGCTGCCCCGCAGACCACCAGTTCTACCACAAGTGGGCGCTGCTCACGGACCCGGACGACATCGCGGCCGGGCCCAAGGGCTACCTCAAGTGCGACATCAGCGTCATCGGCAAGGGGGACACCGTCAAGATCCCGCCCAAGAGCGAGAAGGACGAGGACGACATCGAGGCGTGAGTATCTGTCTGTCTGTCTGTCTGTCTGTCTGTCTGTCTGTCTGTCTGTCAGTCACCCCTTCCCTCTCTCCAACGGCGACCTGGTTCCTTGCAGCAACCTCCTGCTGCCGGACGGCGTGCCCGTGGAGCGGCAGCGCGCCAAGTTCATCGTGCGCATCTACCGCGCCGACGGGCTGCCCAAGATGAACTCGTCCATCATGGCCAACGTGAAGCGCGCCTTCACCGGCGAGGCCAAGGACCTCGTGGACCCCTACGTGCAGGTGTCCTTCGCGGGGATGACGGTGAGGAGCTCGCCCTGTCTCTCTCGCACCCGCGGGGCGGTCAATGGAGGTGCGAGAGAGACAGCCTGCTGGTGGCGGTGCCGTCTTCGTGGCGCTCATCGCTGTGCCCGTCTTTCCCGGCTGCTTCCAGGGCAAGACCAGCGTGCGCAAGAGCAGCTACGCGCCGGTCTGGAACGAGCAGGTGGTCTTCAGCGAGATGTTCCCGCCGCTGTGCCAGAGGATCAAGCTGCAGCTGCGCGACAACGACCCCGTCAACAACACCGTCATCGGCACGCACTTCATCGACCTCAAGACCATCTCCAACGACGGCGACAAGGGTAGGCCCACAGTGGGCCAGAACACCAGTGGAGGCGGCCAAAACTCTAGACGCGTTTCGAGCTAGAGTCGCTTAACAGAACTCGAACCGAATAACGTGTGACCCAGCGGTTCTCAACCTTTCTCGGCTCGCGACCCCAAATTTAAAGCCAAAAATTTCCGCGACCCCCAGGAAAAATTTCGCGACCCCACGGGACCCCTCCTTTAACATGCCACGGCGTCTGATCCGAGGCGGGCATTTTGCTCCCTCAACGGGCAACTGGTCTTTGGACCTTCCTATAGCATGCCTTTGTTACGGAGTGCAATTATCAGTCTTAGTTAGGGAGCAGTATTGTCTCAAAGTTGGCCGAAACGGTCAGCAGTGTCTTTGAAAAATCGTGTTTTGGGCCGATTTTAAGCAGCCACTGCGTCTGATCCGAGGCGGGCATTTTGCTCCCTCAACGGGCAGTTGGTCTTTGGACCTTCCTTTAGCATGCCTTTGTTACGGAGTGCAATTATCAGTCTTAGTTTGGGAGCAGTATTGTCTCAAAGTTGGCCGAAACGCTCAGAAATGTCCATGAAAAATCGTGTTTTGGGCCGATTTTAAGCAGCCACAGCGTCTGATCCGAGGCGGGCATTTTGCTCCCTCAATGCGCAATTGGTCTTTGGACCTTCCTTTAGCATGCCTTTGTTACGGAGTGCGATTATCAGTCTTAGTTTGGGAGCAGTATTGTCTCAAAGTTGACCAAAATAGTCACAACGGTTTTTCAAAGACACTTGCGACCGTTTTGACCGACTTTGAGACAATACTGCTCCCAAACTAAGACTGATAATCGCACTCCGTAACAAAGGCATGCTAAAGGAAGGTCCAAAGACCAACTGCCCGTTGAGGGAGCAAAATGCCCGCCTCGGATCAGACGCAGTGGCTGCTTAAAATCGGCCCAAAACACGATTTTTCATAGACATTTCTGAGCGTTTCGGCCAACTTTGAGACAATACTGCTCCCAAACTAAGACTGATAATCGCACTCCGTAACAAAGGCATGCTAAAGGAAGGTCCAAAGACCAACTGCCCGTTGAGGGAGCAAAATGCCCGCCTCGGATCAGACGCAGTGGCTGCTTAAAATCGGCCCAAAACACGATTTTTCACAGACATTTCTGAGCGTTTCGGCCAACTTTGAGACAATACTGCTCCCAAACTAAGACTGATAATTGCACTCCGTAACAAAGGCATGCTAGGAAGGTCCAAAGACCAACTGCCCGTTGAGGGAGCAAAATGCCCGCCTCGGATCAGACGCAGTGGCTGCTTAAAATCGGCCTAAAACACGACCCCAGCATCGCCGCGACCCCTTAAAAAAATTTCGCGACCCCGCTTGGGGTCGCGACCCTAAGATTGAGAACCACTGGTGTGACCCCACCAATGGATTCCTCGTTCGGAGAGCAATCCATCAGTGGGGTCACACGTTCGATTCTAGTCCCATTTAGTGATTCTGGAGCCCAAAACGCGTCCGGCATTTTGACGGCCGTCTCCGGCACACGCAACGGAGTCCACACTGTAAGAAATAAACTGAGCACTGAATGTGTTGCAGGCTACCTGCCCACGTTCGGCCCCGCCTTCATCCACCTGTACGGCTCGACGCGGGACTACTCCCTCATCGACGAGCACTCCTCGCTGAACGCGGGCCTCGGCGAGGGCGTGTCCTACCGCGCCAGGCTGCTCGTCGCCGTCCGCACCGAGATCACCGACTCGGTGGACATCGCGCCCGCCGACGTGGACGTGGAGCCGGCCTACCCCATCAACGAGGTGCGCATTGTACAGTGGGCCGGAAGACCGGCATAGCCGAAACGCGAGGCGCGTTTTGAGCTCCAGAATCGCTAAACAGGGCTTGAGCCGAGCGTGTGACGCCACCAATGGATTCCTCGTTCGGAGAGCGATCCTGGTGGGGTCACATGTTCGGTTTGAGTCTCATTTAGCGACTGTGGAGCTGGAGCCAAAATGCGCGTCCCGGATTGCGACCGCCTCCACCTGCCTCTCTCCCACCCCCGCGCAACGCCCTTAGAGCGCGAAAGAGACAGCGGGTTACGTGCGCTGTTTTCTTTTGCAGTCGTCGTACGGCAAGAACGAGGAGTTCTTCCTGTTCGCCACCATCCTGGACGCGTCCATGATCGACAAGAAGCTGGGCGACAAGCCCATGTACTTCGAGCTGAGCATCGGCAACGCGGGCAACACCCTGGACGGCCACAACGAGTCGGCGCAGGAGGTCCGCGACACGGAGGAGGAGGAGGCTCCCGGTGAGGCCCGGGTTCGAATACCGCACCGAGGTTCCATTTTATTCTTCTTCTTCAACACGAGTTTTCCGACAGAGATCGTGACGGAGTCGTCGTGGCAGAGCACCACCACCTCCATCAAGCCCATGACCCACGACAGGCTGTACTACTTCCTGCCGTACTGGGACGACAAGCCCTGCATGCACGTGCGCAGTGTGTGGCCCGACCTGCGGCGCCGCATGTACAACTCCAACGTCGTCGCCCGGATCGCGGACAGGCTGGTGAGAGGAGGGCGCCGTCGTCGCGGAAGCCACCACACAGTGTGGGAGGCGGTCAAAGTCCCGGACGCGTTTCGAGCTCCAGAGTCGCTAAATGAGACTCGAACCGAACGTGTGACCCCACCAACGGATTGCTCTCCGAACGAGGAATCCATTGGTGGGGTCACACGTTCGGTTCGAGCCCTTTTTGGCAAACTCTGGAGCTCAAAACGCGTCTAGGGTTTTGGCCGCCTCCACCGGCCTTCCGGCCCACTGTGCGGCCTCTGACGGCTCGGCTCTGTTCGTGCAGGAGGAGGGCCTCGCCGAGGTGCACGGGCTGTCCGAGCGCGAGGACCAGTCGGCGGAGCGAAGACTGAGGGCCGTCCTGGACGACCTGCACTCGGCGTGCGCGCGCTACGTGTCCCTGGCGCGGCAGGCCGCGTCGCAGCCCGGCGCGGGGAAGACCAAGCTGGACCGGGAGCGGGCGCGGCTCTGCGAGAGAGAAATCGTGCGTCGATGTAGAAAACAAGAACACTTTAGTCTTTGCGTTGGTTTAAATCATTTTTTGTGTTTGCACTAACGCACTAACGTTTCATGTCCATCTGTGCAGGAGCAAATGGGCACCATGGCCAGAAACCTCAAGGCTCTAGTTACAAAACACTCCTTCAAGGAGCGTTACAAGACTGCTCACACGTACCTGACCAAGCTCAAGTTCCTGGTGGAGGATGTAAGTCGGACGCGGACACAGCGGACGCAGCGGGCCAGAAGACCGGCGCAGGCAGCCAAAAAATTCAAGACGCGTTTTGAGCTCCAGAGTCGCTAAACAGGACTCGAACCGAACGAGTGACCCCACCACTGGATTCCTCGTTCGAACAGCAATCCATTGGTGGGGTCACACGTTCGGTTCGAGTACCATTCAGCGACCCTGGAGCTCAAAACGCGTTTGGGATTTTGACCGCCTCCACCGGTCTTCTGGCCCACTGTGCGCCATGCCCCAGCGGTTCCTCTGCTGTAACGCCCCGTCGGCCCGCAGCCCCAGCACGCGCTGCCGGACATGTTCCTGTGGCTCATCAGCAACAACAAGCGCACCGCGTACCAGCGCATCCCCGCCAGGGACCTCATCTACTCCATGGTGGCTGAGGAGTGCGGCCGCGACTGCGGCAAGGTGCAGACCATGTTCCTCAAGCTGCCCGGCAAGCGCGGCCTGGGCCCGTCCGGCTGGGCCATCCAGGCCAAGCTGCAGGTGTACATGTGGCTGGGCACGCTCAAGCACAAGAAGAACTTCGTGGACGGGCTGACCAAGGGCTACGAGCTGTCCAACGAGATCCGGAACGCGGACCGGCCGCGCGCCATGCCGCCCAGCGTCATCCACTACGTGGACAAGCGCGTCTTCCAGATGCGCGCCTACATGTACCAGGCAAGGACAAACCAACTCCAGACAAATTCAAACACCAGAAAAATCACCAAAAACTTGAAATTTACTGTAATTTGTTAAAAAGTCATCGAAATTCTTCACAAAGATCAGTAGTTTTTCCCGAAATTCATGCAAATTCTTCTGAAAGTTCAGTAGTTTTTCCCGAAATTCATCGAAATTCTTCTGAAAGTTCAGTAGTTTTTCACGAAATTCATCGAAATTCATCGAAATTCTTCTGAAAGTTCAGTGGTTTTTTTCCGAAATTCGTCGAAATCCGACTGAAATTCATTTGATTTGTACACCGAAAGTCACAGTGATTTCCCTTTGGTGCCAGGCGCGCTCCCTCATCGGCTCCGACGCGTCGGGGCTGTCGGACCCGTTCGCGCGGGTGGTGATCGGCGAGTACTGCCGCACCACGCAGGTCATCGACGAGACCCTGAGCCCCACCTGGGACGAGCTGCTGGTGTTCGACGACGTGCTCGTCTACGGCACCAAGGAGGAGATCAAGAAGGACCCGCCCACCATCATCATCGAGGTCTTCGACCAGGACAAAGTGGTGGGTCCATTTTTCAATTTTTAAAAATTTTGTTCTGTGCACACTCCGAAGCCGTTGGTGTTTCCTTACCACTCCAGTGGCACTCCGTTTATATTTAAAACCCAAACCATTTTCGGCGCCTCCAGGGCAAGTCCGAGTTCATCGGGCGCGCCATGGCCAAGCCGCACGTCAAGATGCTGGACGAGCCGTACCAGAAGCCCGAGTTCCCGCCGTCGCTGGAGTGGTACGAGATCAGCCGCGGCCCGGACCACGCCGGCGAGCTGCTGGCCACCTTCGAGCTCATCGAGGTGGCGTCCTCGCCGCGCGGCGCGCAGGGCCCCGGCCAGGACGTGCCCGAGCTGCCCACGCCCAAGGACACCGTGGTGGCCAGCAGCCAGCAGGACAAGGGGCCCGTGCTGCCCGTGCCGCGCGGCATCAGGCCCACCCTCGCCAAGTACCGGTGCGGCACACTTCAGACTCATTCCGAGTTCGGTCGCCCTGTCTCTCTCACACTCATTGGGCGTCCCCCATGGGTGCGAGAGAGACAGCGATAAAAACGAAAACGATCCTGTCGCAGGATCGAGGTGCTGTTCTGGGGGTTGCGCGACCTCAAGCGGGTGCACCTCATGAAGGTGGACCACCCCAGGGTCGACATCGAGTGCGCGGGCCACATCCTGTACTCGTCCGTCATCCAGAACGCCAAGAAGAACCCCAACTTCAGCACGCCGGTCAAGTTCCTGGACCTGGTGGGCTGCCGCAGTTCCAGAGTATCGTCAAGCGGGACGTTGCACAGTGGGCCAGAAGAACGGCATCGGCGGCCAAAACCCCTAAACGCGTTTTGAGCTCCAGAGTCGCTAAGCAGGCCTGGAACCGAACGTGTGACCCGCACCAATGGACTCCTCGTTCGGAGAGCAATCCATTGGTGGGGTCACACATTCGGTTCGAATCCCATTTAGGGTCATTCCATCCTACTTTTACATCCCGTTACATCGACCCCCTCCGATTTGCTCCAAATTTTGGTCAAATGTTACCTACCTATAGATAAGTCGTCCACCAAAAAATTAGACCTCTACAATGCATGGTTTGGATAAAAACGCATTTTTTCATTTTGACCATTTTTTCTTAAATTAGTGTAGTTTTTTACGAAAACGGCTATAACTTCCTTTCTAATCGCAAGACTCCGTTCAAACTTGGTACTCCCACTCAAAATTGAACAAGGAATCCAAATCTGCCGTCGGAATTGACCTAGGGTCCCCCAAAGTTGGTCAAATGTCCAAAATACGAAAAAAATTGACATTTTTGCCAATACTTAGCTGCAACACTTACAGGGCTCCTAGACAGCTCAAAATCTTCAGAAAAGTGCCCTCTTTAAGAATCTGAATGCAGAAGTCCCAGTATATGCTTCCTAAGGGTCAGTTTTTGACCAAAACGCGAAAACCGCCCAAAACCGCTAGTTTCACCCTCCCACGGACGCCACCTGGGCGGCACGGGTCACTCCGCGTGTTTGAAGGACTAGCTGGGTCATTTTGGGGTGCAGGTGGGCACCCCGCACTGTAAATTACTTTAGAACGAAGGCCCACGCGCCTCCAAGGTCGCACACAATTAGGCGCACATCACGTATTTTGCCCAGATTCGGAATTCGGATCTAGCTCTCTTACTGCCACCCCTTCCATCGACAAAATTTAGCTGGCCCGGTGCACGTTGCACCTTTCCCTGAAGTTTTGTGTAAAGTGAACTTGATTGAGTTAAATGATGTTCAATTTGAACTGCCAACATTCGTAGATCATAGTTTAAATTTGCGTGCCAGGAGCCGCCAACAATTGCTGCGTAGCAAATAGGGGGTCTACAAAATTAATCTGAATATTAATAAAAAACAAGAGACACAATGAAAAATTTTCTCTGTTCTTCAATTTTACTCTTCCCATCAAATTTTTCTCAGCCTTCTCACCGGCGGCCAGAAGCACTCTTCCTGGGCAGGCCACCAACAGCACTGCAGAGGTCGACGGGATGGCCTACCTCCAGGCGCTACGCTGCTCATTCCGAATCTAGGCAAAATACGTGATGTGCGCCTAATTGTGTGCGACCTTGGAGGCGCGTGGGCCTTCGTTCTAGAGTACTTTACAGTGCTGGGTGCCCACCTGCACCCCAAAATGACCCAGCTAGTCCTTCAAACACGCGGAGGGACCCGTGCCGCCCAGGTGGCGTCCGTGGGAGGGTGAAACTAGCGGTTTTGGGCGGTTTTCGCGTTTTGGTCAAAAACTGACCCTTAGGAAGCATATACTGGGACTTCTGCATTCAGATTCTTAAAGAGGGCACTTTTCTGAAGATTTTGAGCTGTCTAGGAGCCCTGTAAGTGTTGCAGCTAAGTATTGGCAAAAATGTCAATTTTTTTCGTATTTTGGACATTTGACCAACTTTGGGGGACCCTAGGTCAATTCCGACGACAGATTTGGATTCCTTGTTCAATTTCGAGTGGGAGTACCAAGTTTGAACGGAGTCTTGCGATTAGAAAGGAAGTTATAGCCGTTTTCGTAAAAAACTACACTAATTTAAGAAAAAATGGTCAAAATGAAAAAATGCGTTTTTAGCCAAACCATGCATTGTAGAGGTCTAATTTTTTGGTGGACGACTTATCTATAGGTAGGTAACATTTGACCAAAATTTGGAGCAAATCGGAGGGGGTCGATGTAACGGGATGTAAAAGTAGGATGGAATGACCCTTTAGCGACTCTGGAGCTCAAAACGCGTCCTGGGTTTTTGACCGCCACCACCGGTATTCTGGCCCACTGTGCGGCGCAGGGCAGAGTCCGTTTCTAACAAAGTGTGCCGCTCTGCTTCGCCTCCCCCAGGAGCTGCCCGAGCAGGAGCTGTACCGACCGCCGCTCACCATCCGCGCCGTGGACTGCCGCAGCTTCGGCCGCTACACGCTGGTCGGCACGCACATGATCAACACCATCCACAAGTACATGTACACGCCGCTCACCAAGCGGGAGCGCGAGGCCGAGGAGCGCAAGAAGTCCCTGCAGCAGCTGCAGAGTAAGAAAGAAGACCTCGTCCACGCGCGTTCACGCCCCTCGCTGCCCTCGCCCCCTCGTCCTCTCGACGTGCCGCCACTGCTGTCTCTCTCGCACGCGAGGCCCGTTCCGCACGGGTGCGAGAGAGACAGAGCGAGATCCGGCTGCTCCTCGCGCTGCTCGTCGCGCTGGCGGCGGCGCGCTTTTGACATTTGATCGCGCCGTCCCCATGAGAAGAAAGGGCCGCCCTTTGTACTGCATTCCGCTGCAGATTCGTCGCCCTGTCTCTCTCGCACGCGTGGGGCGCCCCGTAGGCCCTTACGGGTGCGAGAGAGACCGAGCGACGAAACGAGCCATCGCGTTCCCTCAGCGCCCTTTTGACGCGGAAGGGCCGCGCCGCCGCGTCTCAAAGAAGGGGTGAACGATGTACGCGGAATGCGCAACGAATTACGGGGTTTTGATTTTCCCGCCACTCCACTGTCCTTCGCAGACATGGAGGCGAACGCCGCGGGCCTCGGACACCACCCCGCCGTCGTCATCTCGCACGACGACCACGAGCTCAGCCCGCTCATCTCCAAGGAGACCGCCATCTCGCTGGACTACGGCGTAAGTCGCGTTCTCGTCGACCGTGGTTCGATTCCCTGCGGCCGCCGGCTCAAGTTGTTGTTGTTGCTGGCAGGGCACCGGCGTGCACGCCAAGCGGGACGGCAAGTCCTCGGGGCAGCGCAAGCGCAAGCAGAGCGTGGACGACGCGGACGGCGACGAGAGCTCGCGGGACTGGTGGACCAAGTACTTCGCCTCCGTGGAGGCCATGATTGAGGTGAGCAGCGCGCCGACGGAACTTCCTTTTCGAAAACCACCCCGGAGCACAGTGGGCCAGCAGACGGGTGGAGGCGGCCAAAGCTCCAGAGTCGCTAAATGGGACTCGAAATGAACGTGTGACCCCATCAATGGATTGCTTTCCGAACGCGGAATCCATTGGTGGGGTCACACGTTCGGTTCGAGTGCTATTTAGCAACTCTGGAGCTCAAAACGCGTCTAGAGTTTTGGCCGCCTCCACCGGTCTTCTGGCCCACTGTGCGGAGGGTTGTCATTCATTTTCATTTCTGGGAACCAGGAGAGCAAGGAGGCCCGCAAGGAGACGGCCCTGGCGACGCAGCAGAACGGCCTGGTGCCCGCCCTGGAGGACGGCGGCGGCGACGGCGGCGGGGGCGGCGGCGCGGGCGGCGGCCTGCACGGCGGCGCGCAGGGGGCGGCGGCCGGGGGCCGGCGCCACTCGGCCGCCATCTCCGAGCGCTCCGAGCACTCCCACAAGAAGAAGAGCCACACGCTGAAGGGCACGGCGGCCGCCGCCAAGTTCGTCGCCAGGCTCAGCCCCAAGAGCGCCCGCAGGCACCGCGAGTCCCGCACCGCCCTCACAAAGGCGAGCACGCTGCAAAATCATTATTATCCTTGCAGTGTCGAAACACGCGGGGTTGAAAAAACTGTCTGTGTTTTTTTTTTTTTTTTCAGGTGTACCCCAACGAGCTGGAGGCGCAGCATGAGTATAACGGCTTCAAGGAGTGGCTGCTGACGTTTGACCTGCTGCGGGGCAAGAAGACGGGCGACGAGGCCGAGGACGAGAGCAGGGTGGTGGGGGTCTTCAAGGTGCGCAGAATGCTTACAGTGTACTCTAGCGCCAACGCACGTGTTGCTGCAGGGCTACATCAAGGCGTACCGTTGCACAAAGGGCCAGAAGACCGGCGCCGACGGCCAAAACTCTAGACGCGTTTTGAGCTCCAGACTCGCTGAATAGGACTCGAACCGAGCGTGTGACCCCACCAATGAATTGCTCTCCGAACGAGGAACCCATTGGTGGGGTCACACGTTCGGTTTGAATCCTGTTTCGAGACACTGGAGCTCAAAACGCTTCTCGAGCTTTGGCCGCCTCCACCGGTCTTCTGCCCCACTGTGCGCTGGCCGCTCTTACAGTGCATTGCTCGTGTTGCTGCAGGGCGCCATCAAGGTGTACCGCTGGCCGCTGCCCAAGGACGTGGAGGACCACACCATCATGGGCTTCGACCCCCAGTACGGCTTCTTCCAGGGCCTGCCCTCCAACGAGCCCATCCACGTGCTGGTGCGCGTGTACATCGTCAAGGCCAACGACCTGCACCCCATGGACCTCAACGGCAAGGCCGACCCCTACATCGTGCTGCAGCTGGGCTCCAAGCGCATCAGTGACAAGGACAACTACATCTCCAAGCAGCTCAACCCCGTGTTCGGCAAGTGAGTGCATCCAAAGTCCAGTCCACGACAGTGCAGTTTACCCCAGCCGCCAGCGTCTACGGGCGGCAGGGGCGGGGAATGCCTCAAAAGTTGCCTACGTACAGGAGTGTGAAGGTTTGCCTACCTCTCGGGCTGTGCCGCCTGCAGCAGACTGATTCCGAGAGTCGTTTTCGTCGCTCTGCCTTGCTCGCACTCAAGGAGCGTCCCGTGTAAGTGGGAGAGTGACAGAGCGACGGAAACGACTCCCTGGACCAGTCTGAGGAGGGGCGACGCCCCATCCGCGCCTGCCCACGTCATCCCTTATGCCCGTGCTGCAGGTGCTTCGAGTTCGAGGCCACGTTCCCCCAGGACTCCATGCTCACCGTGCAGATCCTGGACTGGGACCTGGTGGGCTCGGACGACCTGATCGGCGAGACTCGGATCGACCTGGAGAACCGCTTCTACAGCAGGCACCGCGCCACCTGCGGCATCGCCGCCAAATACGAGGAGTAAGTCACAGTGGGGGCGACCAAACGCTCATGCTCTCGGCGGCCACGGCCTCGAAAGCGTGCAACAAGTTGTGGGCAAACTTGGTTGGGAAAACAACGACTGACTGGAAACTTGGTGCCGACGTCTGCCGACAGCACGGGCTACAACCAGTGGCGCGACCCGATGAAGCCCAGCCAGATCCTGGCCAAGCTCTGCAAGGACGGCAAGCTGGAGCCGCCCGCCTACTCCAGCGGCAAAGTCAAAGTGGGCCGCCGAACTTTCTTCCTGCAGAGCGACGACTTCGAAGGCGGCTTCAGCCCCAAGGGTGAGTGGCTGGAGATGGAGCCACGGCGATGGAACCGACCACGCGCACCGATTCCGAGAGTCGTTTTCGTCGCTCTGTCTCTCTCGCGCTTAAAGGGGACCGCCCGTGAGTGCGAGAGAGACAGAGCGACGGACGCGACTCTCGGAACCAGGCTGCTGGAGCGGGCCGAGATGAGCTGCCGCTTTGACGTCATTAGAAAACTACGCCCGGCCCGCAGTCCCTGTTCGAGACACTAATTTTGTTTTGAAATTCCACTTACTTCTGCTATACCTTGGAAGAAATACTCGACGTCCCGCGTGCATGAAGATACTGCGGCAAAAAAATGAAAAATAATCTTTATTTTGCTGAGTTTCTCCGTCTGCCGCAGTCCTGGAGGAGCACATGGCCCTGGCGGTGCTGCACCGGTGGCACGAGTTCCCGCGCATCGGCTGCCAGCTCGTGCCGGAGCACATCGAGACCAGGCCGCTGTACAACGCGGACAAGCCGGGCATCGAGCAGGTGCGGCACGCAAGTGCAGTACCGGTGGAGGCGGCCAAAACTCCGGACGCGTTTTGAGCTCCAGAGTCGCTAACCAGGACTCGATTTGAACGCGTGACCCCACCATTGGATTGCTCTTCTGACGAGGAATCCATTGGTGGGGTCACACGTTCGGTTCGAGTCCTGTTTAGCGACTCTGGAGCTCAAAAAGTCTTGAATTTTGACCGTTTCCCAGGGCAAGCTGGAGATGTGGGTGGACATGTTCCCCATGGACATGCCGCTGCCGGGGCCCTCGCTGGACATCTCACCGAGGAAGCCCAAGTCGTACGAGCTGCGCGTCGTCATCTGGAACACGGACGACGTGGTGCTCGAGGACGACGCATTCTTCACCGGCGAGAAGATGTCCGACATCTACGTCAAGGGGTGAGTCCATGCCGAGCAACCGACGTTTTGAGCTCCAGAGTCGCTAAATGGGACTCGAACCGAACGTGTGACCCCACCAATGGATTCCTCGTTCGGAGAGCAATCCATTGGTGAGGTCACACGCTCGATTCGAGCCCTTTTTAGCGACTCCGAATCTCAAAACGCGTCTTCAGTTTGGGCCGCCGGCGCTGGTCTTCTGGCGTACTGAATACTTTTCGATTACCTTTTTCTTCACTCGGCGCCGACTGCAAAGCTGTTATTCGAGCGGTTTTTCGAACCCCCGACTCTTTCCTCCACAGCTGGCTCAAGGGCCCCGAGGACTGCCAGTGCACAGACATCCACTACCGGTCGCTGACCGGCGAGGGCAACTTCAACTGGCGGTTCGTGTTCCCCTTCGACTACCTGGTGGCCGAGGAGAAGATCGTCATCTCCAGGAAGGAGTCCATGTTCTCCTGGGACGAGACGGAGTGCAAGATCCCGGCCAGGCTGGAGCTGCAAGTCTGGGACGCCGACCACTTCTCGGCCGACGACTTTCTGGGTGAGGACGAGAGGCGATCTAAATTTTAATGAGTTGTCAAAAAGTTTGTTTGGCTGATTGTCCTGTGCTGTCCCAGGCGCCATCACGCTGGACCTGAACCGCTTCCCGCGAGGCGCCAAGAGCTCCAAGCTGTGCACGCTGAGCATGCTGGGGACGGACGTGTCCGTGCCTATGGTCAACATCTTCAAGCAGAAGCGCGTCAAGGGCTGGTGGCCCTTCTACGTCAAGAAGGAGAACGAGGAGATGGAACTGACGGCAAGTACTACCAGTGACTACCAGGCGGCCCACAGTGGGCCAGAAGACCGGTGGAGGTGGCCAAAATTCTGGACCGGTTTTGAACTCCCCAGAGTCGCTAAAAGGGAATCGAACCGAACGTACGACCTCAGCAATGGATTGCTCTCCGAACAAGGAATCCATTGATGGGGTCACGCGTTCGGTACGAGTCCTGTTTAGTGACTCTGCAGCTCGAAACGCGTCCAGAATTTTGGCCGCCTCCGCCGGTTTTCTCTGGCCCACTGTGCGGCCTTTTTGCCTACTTCCGGGGGTCGGAGTATGCCTTTCAGGTGTCATGGGGTGGGGGTTGGGGCCTTTCCGCGTATCCGCGCCTGGCAAGTGACCGGAAACGGCGCGCGAACATTATAAGCAGCGGAGCATCCTGGGAATTTTTCACCCACTTATCTATGTGTCAAAACTTGACAGTGCTGAAACAAACACAAGTAGAACTTAAATTTGTGGTGCAGGGCAAAGTGGAGGCGGAGATCCATCTGCTGACCAAGGAGGAGGCGGAGAGGAACCCGGCCGGCCTGGGCAGGAACGAGCCGGACCCCCTGGAGAAGCCCAAGTACGTCCCCGTCCTCGATGTCGTCACGCGCGGCTCCAAAGAAATCGAAAACTAACCCATCTTGTTTGATGCTTCCCTTTTTTTTCAGTCGGCCAGATGCCTCCTTCATGTGGTTCCTGAACCCGCTCAAGTCCATCCGCTACATCGTGTGGCACAACTACAAGTGGGCCATCCTCAAGGTCTTCATCGTCCTGGCCGTGGCCATCATGCTGCTGCTCTTCTTCTACTCCGTGCCCGGCTACACCGTCAAGAAGATGCTGGGCGCGTGAAGCGCGCGCGGTGGCGCCATAATGACAATCAAAACATTTGCAATCATCGCCATCGTGTGTACATATAATAAAATCGACTCCACAAAACAAACAAAAAACAAAAAAGACTCCTGCATGACGTAACGTGTGCTTTGCATCGCTACCAAAGGGTATTGTAACGTTATTTTAATCGTTGTTTGTAAATTGAAGCGACTGTGAGGCACTGTGGGTGTGGACTCGCCGAAGCAGGGCAGTGCCAGTGTCGGCCAGTGCGCCGGCAAGTTGGCAACCCATCACACACCGTCAGCCACATATCTATTTACGAGTATGACGTATAGCTTTCGAGGACATTGCACTTTAGACGGTAGAGAGAGGGGGTCGACAGCAATAAACAACAATAACTTGTAACCAGTCGATGATATTATTTATTTTAGAGTGCTTGGATATTACTGTACTGCTCACGTATTTTTATCCTGTTTTATCCGAAAGTGGGAGTGCTAATCAAAGGTTGTGAAGTTGTACATACTGTTGCACTAAGCTTGTTCATTGCCTTCTATATGTCGTCCTGGCGCGGCGATTCGAGAGTTATTTTCATTCGAGTGTTTCTCTCCCAGTTGTGGTACTTCCCCCTGTTGGCGCCCATTTGCATGAGACACTACAGACAAGTGGCAGCAAGCCCGTCGTACCTCCAAAAGTCCGAAATGGGCGCGGAAAATCAAAATGATGGGGCAGTACAAGTGAAGTCAGTGAAGGGTGTTTAAGGTGCACTTAGACAAGCCTCCTAGTTGACGTGACGAACAAAACAGCTGGCTGTTTTGCTGTTAAAGATTTTTTCTTATCGTGCTAATGTTTATGGTATTTTTATACAGTTTTGTTTGTTCGATTGTTGCTGTCATGTCGTGAGCGCCAAAAGGCGTCCTCGATTAAATTTTTAATTTATTTACTAAGATAAAATAATAAGCGTCCTTCTGCACTTTTTGGAACGATTTATCTTTAACAGGCGGCGAGCGTTGTGGAAACGAGGGGATTTAAAGTTTGGAATGTTGGCGGTCCCAGTTTCCAGACGCCTGCGTTTTTTGGCTGTGAGCAAAGGGGTGGGCACGGAGGCGTAGTGTAATTTTTTTTTCCTTTCCTCGGGATAGATAGGTATCGACTTTTTCTCGAAGTTTCAGTATCGGCTCTATAGTGTATGTGCTTATTATCTCTGCTTCCGACTTGAAGTACTTGCTGTCGGTTTATCTCGCCAAATATCCAATCACGCGGCGAGAACGCACTCGGAAAATTGTCTGAGGCAATGTTAAAACATCTTTGGCGCAATAAAATGATTTGTTTTTCATTTCTCTGTTGGAACCCTTTCCTATCTCTCTCTTTTTCATCCGATTATGTCTTCTGTATTTATTGAGTGGTTGAACGAATGATTGCATTATGTCCGCTCCCTTTCATGTCACAATAATAGCGTGTAAGTTACCATGTGATGACAATGACTCAATAAACGGATGACCAAAGCAGGAGCCGCGTTGTATGACTTGCTGTTTCCAGAGGCGCGCGCCACACACACGCAGACGCACACACTCGCACACGCACACTCATCTTAGGCGGCGCTTCGGCGCTAGACGCTACTCACCCCACCCACCAATCCACGGCGGTCACGTAGACGAGGAGGGGGGGAGATGAGGTGGCCCGAGAGAGAGGGAGAGAGACGGAAATAGCGTGCCGTAGCGTGCCGGCCGGCGAGATAGGCCAGGCTCAGCACACACAGGCGGCTCCAACGTTCGCTCGCTCGCTCTCGCTGGCCGGCCAGGTTCCAACAGTCATCGCGCACGCTATCATCTGCCGTCCAGTGTCGGGTCGGAGCAGTCAACAGTCAGTCGCTCCCCGTCCTCCAGAGCCTCCACTCCACAGCCATGGCGTCAGTGATGGATATCCTGAACACGGACAACCCCGTGTTCCGCGCGTACGTCTTCTACAGCTGCGTGCTGGTGCTCAAGCTGCTGGGCGTGGTCTTCCTCATCGGCAGGCAGCGCTACGCCAAGAAGGTGAGGCGAAGCGCGCGTTTTAGTTTGCCGCACTCAAACTTAACCTCCAAAACCGGACGGGTGTTGTGTTGTGACTGCGCGCCGCCCTGGGTTTACCCTGGTTTCTGTCATCTCCGTCTCTCTCGCGCCCGCCCGGCGGCGCCCCGGTGCGCACCCAGAGAGGACGCGCCACGCACCGTCAGGAACCTCGAAGTGCAGCGGCAGCAGCAGTGCAGCAGACGGCCGCCGCGGCGCCCAGAGAAGGGGAGAGGGGAAGGGGTAGAGCGGCCGTTGCGGCGTGGCGGTGGGGAGGGGGGGGGGGAGTCCGACCCAAACCACAAAGCTGCCCGTCACTGCGCCGCGAGGTCCGCTCTGCCCCGCGCCCCCCTCGCCCGCACCAGCTGGCCCGCCGACAGTGGGCTGGGCTGGCTGGCCGCGCCGCGGCACTAGTTGTTCTCGAGCCGGCGCCGGCGAGCCTGAGAGAAGAGAGTGTGCGTGTCGCCGTCGAGCCGACCACAGCGAGACGCTCCTTGCCCCAAGCCAACATGTCGTCCGCCGCGAGCCACGCCTGGTCCACCAGCAACCCGGTCTTCGCGGCCTACGTCTTCTACAGCTCCGTGCTCGTGCTCAAGCTCCTGTTCGTGGTCGTGCTCGTCGCGCGCCAGCGGTTCAGCAAGAAGGTCCTTACTAGCACAGACTGAAGGGTGTGCGTAGTGCGTTTCGGGTTCAAGGGCGCCTGCGCGCAGTGGGCTGGAGGACCGATGGAGGCGGCCAAAACTCTAGACGCGTTTTGAACTGCAGAGTCCCTAAATGAGACTCGAACCGAACGTGTGGCCCCACCAATGGATTGCTCTCCGAACGAGGAATCCATTGATGGGGTCACACGCTTGCTTCGAGTCCTGCTTAGCGACTCTCGAGCTCAAAACGCGTCTAGAATTTTAGCCGTCTCCACCGGTCTTCTGGCCCACTGTGCTGCGTGCATGCTTGCAGGCGTGCTTCAACCTAAAGCATGCTACGTATACGCACTCAGTTTTGTAGAGCAAGCGCCTCGGCGTTGTGGAGTCCAGCCCGGGACGACGCTTCGTGTCAGGCCGACGCACCGCGACGGCCACGACTGACGCGAGGCCAGATCTGGGCCCTTGTCTGGCCTGACACTTATCGGGACTCGAGTCCCAGAAGAGCCACCGAGTCACACTGTATTTTGTCGTTCATGACGAAACCGCAGCGACCTGCAAAGGCCCCGTGGATAAGCCAGGATAAGCGCGGCCGGATTGCCGGATCTGACGCAACGGCCAGATCTGTGCAGCGGTCAGACCGGACAGCGCGTTCCGTTCTTTTCCGTTGGTGATCCGGCCGAACGTGCAAGTCACTGTCGTCGTACACACGCTACACGACAGCGCGCTGTGGCTCCCGGTCCAAGTTCAAGGCCGTGCCACGGCGCCATGGCCGCCGGCTGCCGGTTGGCCGGGTTCCTGAGGAGGTGGCTGCCGTGACAGCCCACGTGCACTGTATCGTAATCGTGGGACTGTGGGGCCGTAACCGCTTCGGCTCCGCTTCGGTGCCTCTTCGGGCCCCTGCGTGGTAGGCCAGCCCGTCGCGCCCTGCGTCGTGCCTGGTGGCCTACCTGGCCGTTGCCAGGCGCCCTGCACCTCTCTGGGGAATGACGAATGACGGTTGAGGATTAACGAGATGTTTTTGTTTCAGATCTTCAGCAACCCCGAGGACCTCGTCGACAAGAAGAGCAAGGTGGTGTTCGGCGACGCTGATGTGGAGAGGCCGAGGCGGTAAGTTGGAATGATCTCGACTGATTCCGAGAGTCGTACTCGTCGCTCTGTCTCTCTCGCACTCATGGGCGTCTCCTATAGGTGCGAGAGAGACAGAGCGACGAAAACGACTCTCGGAATCAGCCTGCTGCTAGAGTGCGTCCGTCTCTGTTCCTAAGTTCAACGTTTGGCTTGCAGGGCTCACCTCAACGACCTGGAGAACATCCCCGCCTTCTGGATCACCGGCCTGCTGTACTGCCTGACCAACCCCAGCGCCTACCTGGCCATCAACCTGTTCAGGGCCTTCACCTTCGCCAGGATCGCCCACACCTTCGTGTACGCCGTGGTGCCCTTGCCCCAGCCCTCCAGGGCCCTCTCCTTCGCCGTCGGCTACGCCATCACCATCTACATGGCCGTGTCCACCCTGCTGCACTTCGCCTAGGCGCTCCCAGCGGACACTGATCTCTCTTCCGACCACAAGATACAGTGATGTGTGTTGTTTCATACATTGATGGGACGGCACTGCCCGACATGAAGTACCTGAAGTAGTCCTCACCAGCCACCAGCTTCAATGCTCATTCCACAGAACCCTTCGCATGGGCGCCAAGGCCTGGACTGATTCCGCGTTACCTGACCGATCAAAGCCATTAATTGTTCCGTGTAGTGTACATACCTGTTGAGTAATATATGTGTAGACATTGTCCTTTTTTAATGAAAGCCTGAAAATAAATTGTATTTTACCATAATCTCTTTTAATTAATTGAATCAATTCCTTTCGTCGTGAAGAAAATGTTAAAATTAAATAAGCCGTGCTTGGAGCACTGTAAAACAGTGGAAAACTTTTGATGCAATGATAGAGTTACTGCTCTCACAAAAAAAAAATTACAAAAAATTGAAAGCTTAGATATACTAGACCAGATAAGCTCTTCGGGTCGTTCCGCAGCTTGCCCCTTTCTGGCTTTTTAATCTGAAGTGGCCAGCTGCAGAACCAGTGTGTGATGTTTGCGCACACGAGCTTAACCCACACGTGCTTGAAATCAGACTGGGGAAAAGAGGGGGGGAGGGGGAGCTAGTGTATAAGAGATCCGACCGGCCGGCGACGGGGCACTCTTATCCGGCCCGGACGCAACTCGCCAGGCCAGATACCGACCAGTCGCCGACCTGCCCAGACCAGCCAAGACCTCCGAGCTCGCTGTCGCGATGGACTCCAGCAGAGCGAGCAACGGACGCTGCCCTGCGGCCAAGACTCAGCTGTCGCACTCTCCCGACTCACTGGTGAGAACGTGGGTAGTACTTTTCAGAGTGCCTTTGGTGGTGACAGCGTGTGGTGGATGCGTTGTAGGTGGACTGGATGGTGGATATCAGCTCCCTGCTGCACCCAACATTCAGCCCGATGGCCGATAAACCTCTGACCACTGCCCCCCCCCCCCTCTCCGCACCTTGCACAGAGGAAGGAAGAGAAATGTCAAATTTCACCCAACTTCCCTCTTTTTCTTTGACAGGATATTCAGAAAGTATTCAGCAAACTCTTGAGCCATGAGGACAGCTTTGACATGAAATCGGACTTTCGCAGTCCTGATAGGGCTTCCAAATGTACCTGGCATCTCGGTGCAGACCCAGTAACTTCGCCCCATGCCGCTTGGCAGCTGTAAGTAAATTTTTTCAAAGTGCAAGTGTAAAAAGTTGCATCTGATAAGGAAATTTTTCAGAAATGTGTACATTTTTTCTTACTTATATCAGGCCACCCCGAGAAAAAATTCTTCCCAGTATTCTGTCTGCCATTGGGAAAACACCCATGGTACGCCTGAATAAAATACCTAAGTCATGTGGACTTAGCTGTGAAATGGGTAAGTGTTTTTAATTGATGCAGGCATTGCATTGTTTTCAATTTTGATCTCAATAAAAATTGAAGTTTTTCTTCCTAGTTGTAAAATGTGAGTTCCTCAACCCTGCGGGTGGTGTCAAAGACCGCATTGCTCTGCGTATGGTTGAGGAGGCTGAAGAAAAGGGCCTGTTGAAACCTGGTGGAGTCATCATTGAGGCATCATCTGGAAACACTGGTATAGTGTGATTTCTCAGCCTTGTATCTTTAATTTATCAAAAATTTTATTCACTGTAATTTGAATTTTTCTTCAACTTTGTTACTTCTTTTTTTCAGGCATTGGGTTAGCCATGGTTGCTGCGGTCAAAGGATATCGCTGCATAATTTGTATTCCAGATAGAATGTCAATGGACAAGGTGCACACTTTGAATGCTCTTGGAGCTGAGGTCCTAAGAGTTGATTCCACAGCACCATTTGATTCACCTGACATGATAATAGCAGTATCGCAGCGCCTTCAAAGAGAAATCCCCAACTCTGTCCTCATGAATCAGGTAGTGTAAATTTTCAGTATCAGTGATATTAGCTTAAATTTGCTATTTTAATATTGATTTCGTGTGTTTTTTTCTAAATTTGCGCTTTAAAGTTTACGAATCCATCCAACCCATTGGCACATTACGAAACAACTGCTCAAGAAATCGTTGATGACTGTGGTGGGCAGGTGGATATGTTAGTATTTGGTGTTGGAACTGGGGGAACGGCAACTGGGCTCTGTAGAAAAATCAAAGAACTCTGTCCTAATGTGAAAATAATTGGAGCTGATCCAATGGGCTCAATTTTGGCCCAGCCTTCTCACCTAAACAAACCTGAAGTGCCCCTTGTAGTTGAGGGCATTGGATATGTCTTCGTACCCACAACTGCTGGTAAGTTGAATTCTTTTCTGGAATTGCCAAAACTAGTGCAGGCAAGTAATTTTTATTTTTTTCCTGCCTTGTTCATTTACTTTTGTGGTTTTCCATTCCAGATCGTAGCCTGATTGACCAGTGGTACAAAATTGAGGATGTAGAATCGTACACCATGGCTCGAAGGCTCATAAGGGAAGAAGGCTTTCTCAGTGGTGAGTTTATCGCCTTTATATGATGTGCATTTAAAAATGATGTAGATGAAATTCTTACTGAAAAAGTTGTTATAATTTATTTTAGGAGGAAGCAGTGGCTGTATAATGTCTGCAGCAGTTAAAGCAGCTGCAAGTCTCAAAGAAGGGCAGCGGTGTGTTGTTATTCTGCCTGACAATGTTCGCAATTATTTGACAAATTTCACAAATGACACTTGGATGGAAGCTAGAGGCCACATAGAATCACCTCTTAGTAAAAATCTGTGGTTAGTACAGTTTAATTTGTACTCGACTGATTGATGTAAAAAAGAGGTAATAAATTTAAAAATTTGCAATGTTTCAGGTGGAGTAATGAGAAAGTTTCCGCTCTAAAATTAAAACAGCCTTTGACTGTGTCGGGAGGCACATCATGCAAGCGATCACTTCAAATAATGAAAGAAGCAGGAATCAGTCAGTTGCCAGTTATCAATGATTTAGGGTAAGACTGTCAATTCTTTTGTTGGGGGCATCTTCCCTCCCTTGACAGATTTTAACATTCACACATTTTACAGAGTTGTATTTGGAGTGGTTACCAAGAAAAGCATATTGTCTGAATTGTCCAAGGGACTACTGAAGATGTCGGACCCATCAGAGAAAGCTATGCTTCGTTCTTTTAGAAAAATATCTTCAGACTTTACTTTGCTGAGAGCGTCCAAGTTTTTGGAAATAGAGCAATTTTTAGTTGTAACACAGAATCAAGGTAAAGTCAGAAAAATATTAGACAATTGCCATTTTTGAAATGATTATTTCAAAAACTGATTGAAATAATGACTGATCTTTGAACTTTTTCTGGATTGAAAGGTTTTACCCAGGATGAAGACACAACTATTCGTGTTCTGACTATGGATGACGTGCTTCGCTTTATCGAACCAAGAGAAGAGCAGAAGTGAATCAACAGAGCAATTTTCATTTTCAACAGCTGAGTGCTATTGGGATGAAATCACTACACTAATAACCATTCCACATTTAAAACATATCCCTTAACAATTGTTTAAAAAAAATTATTAAAATAAAATAAACTACAAGAGAATAGTTGCTGTCCTCATTCATCTGTTTGTCCACCTTTGCCTCTGTCACTACCCCGGCTTTTATTTTGACAAAAAGATAAAAAGTCGCGCCTCGATTTTCAGAGTTTCAGTCTGAGCGCCTGTGAGGTAGGCAACCCATCGCGCACCCGTGGCGGGCGGGGCGTACCGGGGCGCGCCCGCGCTGCTTTGCGCTGGGCAACCACTTCACGAAAGTGGCCCCACGAGGGCGCCACAGATTGCAGGCCACGCGGTGACCCATCACGACGATGGATCGACGGGTCAGTGTGTTGACAATGCTTCCCATTCGATGCCCCCTCCCCCCTCTTCCTGCCAGCCTCGACTCTATCACACGGAGTGGCCTCGCAATAACACTCCTGTTGAAGCAGCCGGTTGGGTGGGTCGGCCGGCACGATAGTGTAGTGCGGTGCCGTTTGCCGTTCGCCGCACGCGCGTCCAAAAGCAGTCGCAGTAACCGCATCCACTTCGCACCGAGCACTGGCACCCGGCACCCCTTAGCGTGAGTAGCCAAAGAGTCTCGCGTTTGCTTGCGTTCTTCCCCGCCTGGCACCCGCTATCGTGTCATAGGCTTTTGCAACCTTCTATGTCAATGGAAGTCATTATCGCATTACTTACATTCGTTGCTCCATGACTCATTATTAAAACTTTTAATTTGCTCAAAAAATATTTTACATAAATATGTACGACTTGCCTCAAGTAGAAGGACTGTTGTTTCAGTCAGAAGACGAGGAACCCCTTGATGATTTAAGTTGACTCAGACCGTGTCTCAATGACTAACGATATTCCTTTGTGTTGTAATATTGCTTGCCCAACTCGCAACTCAGCACTCAACACCGATGCTGATGCGGGGGCGCGTCGTAGCGGAGAGATCATTTCATCTCTGAAAATGTCTTGAACGGGATAATCCAAGCCCCATTTTTCAAGCCAGTTTGGTAACAGTCCTGCTCTAACAATAAATTTAGGAAGCACGCGATAAGTACAAGTGTTAGAAACAGGCATTCCCTGTGAAGGCTGAGAAACACAATGACACAGGCGCCATCTCTCGGGATATCGGCGCACTTCGACGTCACCCACTCCCCTTTCCCCCTCCCCCTCCCCTCCCCCTCCCGCTCATTCAACTTCTTCTGCTGTGCTGCCTCTGCCGACGCCGCCGGTTCGGAGCAACAGTTGCCTTTTTGTGATCCGCGTATTTCTCTTTGTTGGTCAGTCAAGCTGCGATCTCCTCCTCGCTTGCATTGCACATCACTTGTATTTTATTTCATTCGCTGTTGTCTTTTCTCAATCAGAGCTTCTGCTCCATTTTCTTCGTCATAACCTGTCTTTACTGGCCTGTAAACATCATGGTGAGCGTGGGAACCTGTTTCGAAATTTCCTTTGTGTCCATTATCATGAATAACATCACTTCCCAATGTCTTCATTCCCTATCATTCATACAGTATTTCATGTGTTTTATTTCTGAATCCTTCTTATATTACTCACATTTGCATTCTATTTTTCCGCTGCAGGACATGTCTGGAGTCTTTGAGAAGGTGGTCTCCAACAAGGGGACCATAGACATGAAAACTGAGTTTGTCCGCCCTGACAAAGTCAGTGGCTGTAAGTGGCACCTGGGTGCAGACGCTGCCAACTCCCCTCACTCGAAAGTGAAAGTGTAAGTCCTCGTCAGATTGCTTAATATTGCTCTTCCCACTGTATTTTAATTTTTCAATCTTTGTTGCAGTGAACCCCGTCCCAAGATTCTTCCAAACATTCTCTCTGCCGTTGGACAGACACCATTGGTTCGGTTGAACAATATTCCTAAATCATTTGGAATTCGCTGTGAAATGCGTAAGCCATCTTTCTCCCTCATTGAATGCAATGAAGCTTGAAAGTTCAAGCTCAATTGAAACTTTGCTTGCTTTCAGTTGTGAAGTGCGAGTTTTTAAGTCCTGGAGGTAGTGTCAAGGACCGCATTGCCCTTCGAATGATCGAGGATGCCGAAAAGCAAGGAATCCTGAAGCCAGGTGATGTCATCATTGAGCCTACATCTGGAAACACAGGTTGGTTTAAATTTATGAAAATTTCTGGTTTTTTTTTAGAAATATAATAGCACCAATTAACTAAACTGCCTATGTTCATGTGCAGGCATTGGTCTGACAATGGCTGCTGCTGTCAAGGGCTACCGAGTCATCATTGTAATGCCAGAGAAAATGTCCAATGAGAAAGTAAACACACTGAGGGCGCTTGGAGCAGAGATTCTCCGTACTCCTACAGCTGCTTCATTTGACTCCCCTGAGGGCCTCATTGCCGTAGCTCAGCGACTCCGTAAAGAGATTCCCAATTCTGTCATCTTGGATCAGGTAAGGATCCTTCACTAGTTCCAATTTGGTCTTTGGTAATTTTTTTTTAAATAAAAGGTATTTTTGTATTTTTTTTTCTTATAGTACCGAAACCCTGGAAATCCACTGGCCCATTATGACACAACTGGCCAGGAAATTGTCGATGCTTGTGAGGGAAAGCTGGATATGGTTGTAATGGGAGCTGGAACCGGTGGCACCATCACTGGTGTGGCCAGGAAAGTCAAGGAACAATGCCCCAATGCTAAAATCATTGGTGTGGACCCTCTCGGCTCCATCTTGGCTGAACCTGCAGAATTAAACAAAACTGATGTATCTTTCTATGAGGTGGAAGGGATTGGCTATGATTTCATCCCCACTGTCTGTGGTATGTGGAAATTTTCTGTTGCATCTCCGATTGATTCAGGCTTGGATAAAATTTCAACTTGTTTGTGAAACACTTATTATTTGTTTTCAGATCGATCTGTTGTTGATTCTTGGAGGAAGTCTAATGATAAAGAATCCCTCGTCATGGCACGAAGGCTCATCAGGGAGGAGGGTTTACTCTGCGGTGAGTACAGTCAATATTTATCTGACCTGCATGATTGAATAGCTTGCCTTTTTATTATTTGATATAACAATCTAACTTCCTTTCTCTAGGTGGAAGCAGTGGTGCTGTGATGTCTGAGGCGGTTAAGGCTGCTGCCAACTTGAAGGAGGGTCAGCGCTGTGTTGTTCTTCTACCAGACAACATTCGCAATTACATCACAAAATTTGTGAGCGATCAGTGGATGGAGGCAAGAGATTTCAAGGAGCCAGCTCCCAACAATGTTTGGTCAGTCACAGTGGTATCCTTTATCTTAGCAATTGTTCACTCTCAATACTAACTTGGTACTCTCCCTGTTTGTAGGTGGTGGTCTGAAAAAGTTTCATCTCTCAGACTTGAGGCCCCTCTAACAGTCAACCCATCAATTTCATGCCAGGAAGTTGTGGACATCATGAAACGGGAAGGCTATGATCAGCTACCCGCTGTTGATGACTTGGGGTGTGTATTTCCCTTTGTCCCTCTCAGTAATGTTATCATAAGTTACTATTTATTTTGATGCTTTTCAAATCTATTTTAACAGATGTGTACAAGGAATGGTAACTATGGCCAATTTGATGTCTCACATGACAAATGGCAAAGTGCAGGCATCTGACCCTGTGGAGAAAGTATTGTACCGTCAAATGCGGAAGATAACACTGGACACTCCCCTAAGCAGAGTTTCGAAGTTTTTAGAAATTGACCACTTTCTCCTAGTTGTTCACACTCAAAAACAATGTAAGTTGAATTGCTAAGCTGCTCACAGTTTGCTTTCCCAGTTTTGGCACACACGCTCATTAATATTATCCATTTTGTTTCTGATTGCAGACAGCAGTGTTGATTCTGCTCAAAGCAGGGAGTCCATTGTGGGGATTGTGACCCCAATTGACCTGCTTTGCTACATAACATCCCGAGAGGGACATGAAGGCACTGTTGACTCAGAGTGTTCATCTGTCAGTCACTAGGCTGATCTCATGTGATCTCATGGCTGATTTAAATTTACATTTTGTTTCCTTATTAACCCAGTGAGTGGTATTCAACTAACTGATGATGAATGAATTTGAATCGTTGTCTTATATTTCTGCAACTGTGTTGTAAAATTATCAATTTTTTGGAAACTGATATATATTTTTGTCTGAATGCAATCAATTGTGTGATTTCCATTTTGTGATTTCTTTAATGTCAGTTTGAGATGATACTCAATTATTGTTTTTAAATTATTCCAGTTGTATTTGAATTTTTTTCTATACCTTTAATTTATTTTGGCATACTTTAACATTATTTTATGAAGTATTCTTCCTTCATACTTGTTTTATAGTCTTCTTTTGTATTTTATAATTACACGTCACTAAATACCATCACATTTTCACTTGAAATAAATACTATTCAAATAAGTCTATGTCTCCTGCCTCAGTTCGCCCTTCACAGCCAGAAATGGCTCAGTCTTGTCGTCTGGGCCGCACGACGGAAGGCCTACCGTTCGTGCCGCCCAATTGAGTCCCGTCGACTCTGCGCCTTTCGGACTGGCGCTCCCACGCACTGCGCAGCAGACTGATGCCGAGAGTCGTTTTCGCCACTGTGCCTCTCTCGCACCTACACTACACGGGTCGCCTAAGTGTGCGAGAGAGACGGAACGACGAAAACGACTCTCGGAATCAGTCTGCAGTGCCAACGCGGTGGTCGCGGTGCGTGGCGTACGCGCTACGCGCCACTCATCGCGATCGAACCTCGTCAGCTGAAACGCCGTCGGCACACTTTGTCACGGGCGCGGGGTCGGGTCGGATTAACCGACGCGTCTCGAGGGCCCCATGAGGGGTCGTCGGTCTTTGTCTTTCTTATTTGCGAGACCCAGGCTCGCTCTGCAGACTAATTCCGAGGACCGCAGTCGTCCGCGCTGTCTCTCTCCCCCCAATCGGAGACGCCCCTTGGGCGTCAGAGAGACAGAGCGACGTAGGCAGTCCGCGGCATCAGCCTGCAGGTGCGAGAGGGAATGCCCTCCAAGGGGAGGGAGGCGACCTTCAGAACAGCCGCGGCCGACCCGATATGGGGTTGTACAAGTCCAAGATCATCTCCCTGAGCGTGGTGGGTGGAGTGAGGAAGTTGTCCTGCGTGACCGTCTTCTCCTGGTGCCGCTTGAGCAGGTGGATGGTGTACTGGTCCCGCCACTCCGCCCACACCTCGTTGGCCTTGAACACCTTGTGGATGAGGTAGTGCACCCCGAAGAGCAGCTTGACCCGGTGGATGTGCTCGGGCCGCTTGTACAGCACCTCCACGGTGGGCCGCTCCCCCGCGTTGTAGTACCACTTGTCCTTGAAGTAGGCGCCGCGGTACGTCTCCAGCCACTCGTTGAGGAAGCGGGCGTCGGGGTGCGCCACGATCACCTGGGAGGCAAAAGCAAAATTTACAGTGAGCGGGATTCTCAGCCAATGTTGCTGCATACGTAGACAAAAATTCCAGCGATCCACCGCGTAGAAAGGGTTGCCTGCCTGCAAGGCAAACATGAGGGTTTTCCTTTTGAGAAGTTGCCTCGGGTGTGGAGGTGGGAATTTTTGCCTTATATGGCAGCACTGCTTCTTCTCCCACCCGGGCCAAAACGGATACATGGCGTGGAGCCCCCCGCCCAAAAAAGGGCATCTAGTGAACCGCCTGAAAGGAAGGCAAAACGCCTCACTTTGCCACTGCAAGTAGGCAAAAAGTGCTACTCTCCCCTTCAAATACCTCTGGATCCGCACTCTAGACGCGTTTATGAGCTCCAGAGTCGCTAAAAGGGACTCGAACCGAGCGTGTGACCCCACCACCGGATTCCTCGTTCGGAGAGCAATCCATTGGTGGGGTCACACGTTCGGTTCGAGTCCCATTATCGACTCTGAAGCTCAATTTTGACCGCTCCGCCGGTCCTCTGGCCCACTGTGATCCGCCACTGCTTGCTGACCTGCGTGCCGAGGAACTGGTCGTCGTCCCAGCCGATGGCGAGCTCGAAGCGGCGGAAGGGGTCGAGCGACTTGACCTGGTAGGAGTCGTTGTCGAGGAAGATGCCGCCGTACTTCATGAGGATGCGGATGCGCGTGATGTCGCCGGCGTGCCAGACGCGGTTGCCGTTGTCCATGGGCTGGCCGAAGATCTCGCTGGGCAGGTCGACGTGCACCATCTCCGTCACGTCGGCGAAGCCCGGCGTCATGAGCAGCTTCTCCCAGAGCTCGCCGCGGAAGCGCTTCACGTTGGTGTGGAAGAAGAGCCGCTCGGGCTTCTGGTGGCGCAGCGCCGACAGCACCACCACGAAGTCCAGGAAGTCGAACTCCTCCTGGTTGAAGCGCAGGAAGTGCACGAAGTTGGGCACGATGTACTCGCCCGACGCGTCGCCGGTCTCGTTGTTGAAGCCTGGCACACCGTGCACGTGGAGGTCGCAGTGAGTCACAGATAAGACACAGGAAAAAAATGGTGAAGGACCGGTATTTGAACCCAGGCCCGGCGGCTCACCTTCGAAGTTTCGCTTTTCCCGCTTGGGCGGCACGTACGGCTCCTTGGCCAGGATGATCCTCATGGCGGCCTCGGGCAGCACCGTGGGGTCGCCGTCGGGGAGGGGCAGCAGGTCCAGCAGCTCCTGGGGGTCGGGCTGCTCCCAGTTGGTGATGCGGTGGTAGTGCTTGGCGGGCCAGCGCGACCCGCGCAGCGTCCACGCGTAGAGGAGGATGAGGAGCACGGCGATCAAGGGCACCAGGAGCATCCGCCGGCTCGCGCCCATGGCTTTCATGGCGCCCAGCAGCCTGTACGACGGCTTCCTATCCCGCTGCCGAAAGGAAGGCGATTGCTTGATAAACACTGCTCAACGCGCGGCTCTGAAGATTACGCGTGAATTAACCCGCCCTGCCGCGAAACGTGTGTGGCATACGGCTCGCAAAGTTTGGATTTGCAATCTGGTTGCACTCGCGAGAAAAGACAACTTTCTGTCATGACCGTGACATTTGCCAGGCCAAGGCCCTTTGCACTATCTTGATCAAAGAAGCCGTAGCAAATAATTAACTCAGATACCTGACTTGAACGACAGTGACTTGTCAAAGATTACATCGCTGAGGCGACGACACAGCATCCTAGAGAGCAGGTAGTCAAAATCAAGTCGTCGAACAATGTCATTTTGACATCAAAACGGACCAAATTTTGACAATAATCGTTCATTTACCTTGTAAGAAGAACAAGAGTAGAAAAAGGCGGCGGCGCGACGGAGTGTAGCGCGGTCCCCCACCAAGCAGAAGCCTCTGTCCGCTGCTTAACCTCGTTAGGCGTAAATAAATACTTTTAGGACTGTTTAAGGTTTAAATTTTAACTCTGTGTCAATTTTACGATGAGTATATTTGCAATGTTAAACGACGCTCGCGACCGAGGCCTGGAAAGAGGCTTCTGCTTGTTGTGGACCGCGCTACGCTCCGCCACGCCGACGGCGTCTTCTTCTCTTGTTCTTCTCACTCGGCAAGGTCCCCGCACTTTTTAATTCTCCATCCAAATACCATGATGGCGTCAAATCAACTCGCTTTCCACTTACCATGTTTACTGGAGCCCGCCTACAGCTGGGCCTACCGCTCGCGACACACTCCCGGCGCGTGTCTCGCCAAACTGGCGGCACGCGTCTTGCTGTGCGTGCGTGTGAGCGTGTGAGCGTGCCGCGATCGAGGGCGGCCGAACCCAACCCCAAACACGGACGCCGGGCGGCGGCGTCGACGTTGCGATCGCCGGCGACGTAGACGGTAAAGCAGGTCTCACGGGCGGCGGTGTCGGCGGCCAGGTCCGCGGCGTGGCGAAGTAGGTGTCACGGGCGGCGGCTTCGACGACTAGGTGCGCGGCGTGGCGCCGTAGGCGGTGAATCAGGTGTCGAGGGGCGGCGACGCCGTCGGCCAGGTGCGCGGCGTATCGCCGTAGACGGGTGGCGGTCTCGACGGCCAGGTGTGCGTCGCGTCGCCGTAGACGATGAAGCAGGTGCCACGGACGGCGGCCTCGACGGCCAGGTTCGCGGCGCGGCGCCGTAGACGATGAAGCAGGTGCCCGCGGCGTGCCGCCAGTGCAGGTGTCACGGGCGTGCCGCGCGAGGGACTAGCTGTTGGCGAGACGTGCAAACGCAGACTGATACGCAACGCCTTATCGCGCTGGGTACTATCAATTTTCGAAACGCGCCTGTCCTCCGCCACCACGCTAGTCCTTCCGGTCCTCGCCCCGCCGACCGCCGAGTGAACGCGTCTGATAAGCAAGGACCCCGGGACGCTATGACGCCGGTCACTTAAAAGCGGTACGAACTCGTAAATTTGCCCTGATTGTTCCGCTTTTGGTGAGATTTTTTCATTATCTAATCTGGCTTTAGTTCTGCCATGGAAGCCTCTATTCTCCTCTACGCCCCATGACTGTACCTCGGCCGGCGAAGGCTCAGTGAGTCCGTCGTTTGATGCATCGGATCGCCAACAGACTCTCCAATGTCCACCCACCCCCACATCACCCCACTTTCCTCCAGCTCTGCTGTCCTTGCCGGTGCACGGCATGGACCCCAGGGCAAGGGAACAGGTAGGCGGCAGCGCGACAACACTGTGAACGAAACCCCTACTATGCTTACACGGCGCGCTCAAGTCAGCGACTAGCACAAGTCACTCGAAACGCGGTCGGTTTACACGCCAGTGACTAGCTAGTATCTTAATTTTATTTTCATTTAATTTTTCAATTTTATGAATTTTGCTTCATAGCTTTTTCAATTATTCGAATTTTTCGAATATCAGAAATATAAAACACCTCAAATTATTTGAAATATGAATAAAAAAAGGTTATGTCATGGAAAGTGAGTGACTTGCTCTGAAACACTCTTTATGTGACCTTTCAATTTTTTCTGGACCTCAATTATGGTTAATACATTTATTGCTGCCCATATTTGACAATCTCTTGCCTTCAATTACTGGATTCAATCAAATATATTTGTCCACAATCCGAAAACAACCTCTGCTCTAAGTCATCATTCCCGTTTACACGGCTTTAAGTCAGCGCCTTACGTTAGTCAGTCACCGACTTACGGCTGACCGCCTTACGGTTGGTAACCAGGCGTTTACACGCAGTTTTGGTGCCTCACTAGCGCTAAGTCACGCACTAGCGGCGGCGTGTAAACATAGTACCCCACTACTTCAAACTCTGCCGCTATCACTCAAGTAGTGTCTGAGTTTTATTTTGTTTTTAGCAGATGATACGTTCACGTATCAGCGTGCTTGTACTCTCGTGCAGAGAGTACCGAGTTTCCGGCTAGCCAGGCAGCAGTTGCCTCCTTGCCTGACTGGCAAGCCTAGAAGAGGCCGAGCGCCTCGCCGGCAAGGCAGCGGCTGGCTGGCCTGCCTAGAAGAATATGAGCGGAGGGCCCTCAGCCTTGGAGTAATACTGATAGGGAGTCCTAACTAGAGCTGCACCTTTCTGTTTGCCAACGCCCTGAAGGCTTGATTTTCAACTTAGAGACTTTTCCAATAGCTCATCTTGTCACAAAAAGAGTGAGGATTTACGGGATGCAAACAGATTGGAGCTAACCCATACCGTTCCGGAGTTCAGGGCGTTTCTGTGCGTGGCACTAGGTGTCCGGCGAATCGTAGAGAGAGAAAGAGATAGTTTCCGAACTTTGCCACCATATAGCTCCTGACTGGGGCAACTTAGAAGGTTCTGGTTTTGAAAAATGGATTTAGAAGGCGAAGAAGATGGACGGGATGTAATCACCATCGATGAATTCGGTCGGTTTCATGGGGTGCATTTCCGACCGGGTGGTTTTCTCTCTCTAGCATTCGTCAGGACAGCTCGGCCCACCGCCGCGCCAGTTAGGACTCCCCACTGTATTACTCCAAGCCTCAGCGTGCCGCGCCGCGCCGCGCGTGCCGTCGCCCGCCGCACAATGAATCGGGGCGCCTGCGGGGGCTCGGGTTGCGCGCGCGGAGTATAACCTCGACACCCAGCTGGTACTCATGAAGTGCGTCCCTCACGTTGCGCGCTATGCCGCTCCCCTTCCTCTCGTCACGAGACGCTACTAGCACGCATCGCACAGCTGGCCCCCGCGCCCACGCCCCTTCCTCTGCCGAGATGCCACGTCCCGCCGCGCCCCGCCACACCCCGCAGCAGTTCACACACACACACACCCACTTGAACCTTGAGTGCGTAGAACGCATAGTGCAGCGCCCCCCCGAACCCCTGCCCCTCTCGAGAAGCGGCGCGCCGGCAGTCGGCAGAACACGCCACTCATACTTGCTTATCTTGAGCGTCTCGGGTTCGGGTGTCGCAGGGCGCGGCTGGCCGGCCCTGCTTAGAGATGTGGCTGACACGCTGCGTCCGGCGAGGCATTCCGCGCCCTAGTACCGAAAACAACTTTTACGGGTGTTGAGTATTCATGTGATTAGCCACCAAATTGTGCATCCTCGCTTTGAAACAACGAAAATGATACCCGACACAAGTGGTATCCGACATATGAGTGTCCCACCTCTGTCCCACCGACATTGCGAGCATGTTTAACACAAAACAATGGCACGTTAGGATATCCAAAAGTTAAAAAAAAATTGACATTTTCGTGAATTATTATGCGTAAGAAATTTGTCAAAAGAAGAGTTCCGAGTGTTAACTTTTCCAAATTAATTCACAAAATGTCACATTCGTCGACAAATTTTTCTACTCATCGTGGAGAAAAAAACCACCACACATTTAAATAAACATTCTCATTAGTATCATCCGCTTTCACGTTAGCGTTAGCGTAAACGTTTTTTTTTTTTTTTGACGGCCGGGTGTTCTACTTCCTTCGCGTCATCCGCCGCGCCAAGACAAGAGTCGTCCTCAGCGGGTCCCTCGCCATCAACCGCAGCCTGCCCATCATGGTACGCAGTAGCTCTGGTTACCAACGACCCCACCGGTAAAGCTAAAGCGTAGCCGTCTGTCACGCTTGATCTGAGGAGACACTGATTTCGCTTGAAAAAGAAGGGTATTGCTACGCTCTAGTTTTACCGGTGTCGATGACGGCGAGCAGGATGTGCCGCAGCAGTAACGCACAGTGGGCCAGAAGACCAGCGCAGGTCAAAACTCTAGACGCATTTTGAGCTCCAGAGTCGCTAAACAGGACTAGAACCGAGCGTGTGACCCCACGGACCCCACCAATGGATTCCTCGTTCGGAGAGCAATCCACTGATGGGGCTACACGTTCGGTTCGAGTCCCATTTAGCGACTCTGGAGCTCAAAACGCGTCCGGAATTTTGACCGCCTCCACTGGTCTTCTGGCCCACTGCGTAACCATGAGATTAGTGTAACGTTTCACCGGCCGCACAGTTCACCAACAAGCTGCTGACCTACATGGCGGTGCTTGCGCAGTTCGAGCTGGCCATCGGGACGAGCGTGAGGGACGAGAGATGAAAGGACTACAACAATAACAAACAACGCTGCTCAAAATGGTACAGTCTGTTAAGCAAGTCTGTAGCCGGTGACGGTCTCGATGTACGTCCTGATGTTCATGTTCCTCAGGTCCGTGTACACCCCGGGGTACTTGTCGTGGGCGCAGCCGACGCCCCAGGACACGACCCCCAGCAGCCGGGGCGACGAGTCCACGTCCGAGACGACGGTCAGCGGCCCGCCGGAGTCGCCCTGCACGATCCAGACGTTAGAACGATCGAAAGAATAAAAACGTTTCCGCTGCCTCCAGGAAAAGTACGAGTGTACCTGACAGGTGTCGCGGTGAGAGCCCTGCGCGCACACCATGTGCTCCGTGATGGGCAGGTTGAGCTTGCGGTACGTCTCGCTGCAGTGCTGGTGGTCCACGGGGTAGATGACCACCTTCTGCAGCACGTAGCTGCCGCCGTAGAAGTGGGACTCGGCCTTCTCCTGGAAGCGCGGCAAAGCGGAGGGCAGTTGCGGCGATACTCCGGGCGCTGCGGCCACCCCGGGACTACCCCCTGCCGCGGGCCGCGGGGTATCGCCAGCGGAGCGTCTCCACCCCACAGTGGGCCAGAAGACCGGTGGAGGCGGCCAAAACTCTTGACGCGTTTTGAGCTCCAGAGTAGTGTTCCGGATTGGGTGGGCGGTCAAAACCCGATGACTCCAGAGCGACTCTAGAACTCGGCCGGTGAATGCAGTGCCAGCCGCAGGCACTGCCGACGGGATAGCTTAGGCCCTACGCCAGCCTACTGACAGTGCCTGCGGGCGGCACTGCATTCACCGGCCGAGTTCTAGAGTCGCTCTGGAGTCATCGGGTTTTGACCGCCCACCCAATCCGGAACACTACTCCAGAGTCGCTAAATGGGACTCGAACCGATCGTGCGACCCCACCAATGAATTGCTCTTCGAACGAGGAATCGATTGGTGGGGTCACACGTGCGGTTCGTGTCCTGTTTAGCAACTCTGGAGCTCGAAGCGCGTCTAGAGTTTTGGCCGCCTCCACCGGTTTTCTGGCCCACTGGGCACCCCGACCAGGGCTTGCAAGCCGACTCACCTGCGTCAGCCCCCAGCCGGTGATGGTGAGCTGGTCCGAGTCCAGCAGCCGGTAGCCGGCGTCCACGATCCGGATGGGCTGCACGGCCTCCTCCAAGCGGATGAGCGGCTCGACGCGCACCAGCCCGATGTCCATGTCGAGGCCGTGGGTGTGCCAGTGCGGGTGCTGGTAGAAGGCCGTCGGGTAGAGCAGCTGGCCGCCGGTCACGGCCACCGAGGAGCCGGCGCGGAAGGAGCTGCCCTCCGTCGCGTTGCTGCAAGCGACGTCCGTTGGACCTCGGCAACCTCGGCCTCGGAGCACAGCGGGCCGGCGGCCAAAACTCTCGACGCGTTTTGAGCTCCAGAGTCGCTGAACAGGACTCCTACCGAGCGTGTGACCGTGTGAGCGGATTCCTCGTTCGGAGAGCAATCCATCGGTGGGGTCACACGTTCGGTTCGAGCCCTATTCAGCGACTCTGGAGTGTGACCCCACCAATGGATTCATCGTTCCGAGAGCAATCCATTGGTGGGGTCACTCGTTCGGTTCGAGCCCTATTTAGCGACTCTGGAGTGTGACCCCACCAATGGATTCCTCGTTCGGAGAGCAATCCATTGGTGGGGTCACTCGTTCGGTTCGAGCCCTATTTAGCGACTCTGGAGCTCAAAACGCGTCCGAGATTTTGACCGCCTCCACCGGTCCTCTGGCCCACTGTGCGGAGCGCGGCGGGGCGGACGCCTGTGAGGTAGGCAACCCACTCAGCCGTGCAGCACAGCGGGGCGGGCGCCTGTCAGCTAGGCAACCCATTACCATTACCATTAAGGGCTAGACCACACATGATCGTATGCCATTTCGGGCCCGACACATGCCCGCCTGCACTGCAAAACGAGACATGGCCGTCCTTACTAAGGTGACCCACCCGTCCCCGGAGCACGGCGGGCACGACACGAACCCGATCGGGCGGGAAGCGTGCGTAGCGTAACTGAGATTCGGTCGGGATTGCATAAAACGGCCTCGCTGACCGAGCAGCGAGCACCGGCGAAGCAGCCCTGCCTTGCCCGCCTCGGCCCGCATTGCAGCGTCGACAACTTGCAGCGGTTCGGTTTCGGTTCCCAGTGGTGGTCCCTGGCGGCCCTACTGCCCTGCAATCTCCATCTCATCGCCGTCTCCAGGGTCCGGCATCTCCGCCTGGATGCGGGACTTGGGCTGCGGGCGCACGGTGCACTGCACGGGACTGGCACTGCACTGCGAGGGGCTGTCGGTGCTCACCCTAGGCCTGTGCGATTAATCGAATAATCGAAATCGATTTCCGATTTTTAGTAATCGACGATTATTTTTGTGGACCGATTCGATGCTCGTAATCGAACTTAACGGAGTAAAATCGGTGGTCGATTTTCACCGATTAATAGGGTTTTGAAACGGTTATCGATTACATTTATTGTTGTTTATTAACAGAAGACCTGACAATCTTTGCACTGTACTTGAAAAGCCTTAACTGTGGACCATGTTTACGCTTTACGAATTCTATTTCTTTTCAGTTTTATTCAATTTATTGGGCAAGAAATAATTGATTGAGGGCGATTAATCGCAAATGTTCGATTATTGACAATTCGATTAATCGGTTTTCGTCGATTAATCGGCCTTGTTTCGATTGCCGATTACCGAGCATCGTATCGGTCGGCTTTTCGATTATTTCAATAATCGGTCGATTTCGATTTTGGACAATAATCGCACAGGCCTAGCTCACCCGTTGGGGAAGCAGTGTGCCGCCGAGATGAGCCACTCGTAGCTAATGATGGAGGCGCCGCAGTGCAGGGCGTTGTTGTACAGCCACGCCACCTGGCGGACAACAAGGCTCGCCGTCAGCGCCGTCGGCCAGTAGACTGATTCCGAGAGTCACACAGTGGGCCGGAAGACCGGTGGAGGCGGTCAAAATCCCGGACGGGTTTTGAGCTTCAGAGTCGCCAAAGGGACTTAAACCGAACGTGTGACCCCACCAATGCATTGCTCTCCGAACGAAGAGTCCATTGGTGGGGGTCACACGCTTGGTTCGAGTCCCATTTAGCGACTCTAGAGCTCAAAACGCGAGTTTTGGCCGCCGGTGCCGGTCTTCTGGCCCACTGTGAGTCGTTTTCATCGCCCTCTCTCACACTCATGGAGCGTCCCGTATAGGTGCCAGAGAGACAGGGCGACGGAAACGACTCTCGGAATCAGCCTGGAGCAGGCGGCGGCGACCGGCTTCACGGTGGGGGCAGTCTTTACCTGGTGCGGATAGTCTTTGATCTGGGCGTCCTCACCTCCAACGATGCGGCCGAAGTGGCGTCGCTGCGTGGGCGGCGCGTTTGGCGGCGCGTTGGGCGGCGCGCCCGGCCCGGGGGCGGCGGGGAGGCCAGGGACGCCCAGAGGGGGGCTCGGCGGCGCGGCGGCCGGCGGGGACCTGCCGGCCACTGGGGCCTGGGCGGCCTGGACACGCGGAGCACACCGTCACTAACGACACACGTCCCTGATTGACAGGTGTCAATAGACCGGTGGGCGACGTCCACAAGCAGACGACGCGGAGGGCGTAACTTGACTCTAGCGCCCGCCAGCCCGCCAGCCCGCCCACTTGCCGTGGCTGCCAGCCCTGCCAGCCCCGCCAGCCCGGCGTCCGACCTGTCAAGACCCGGTCTGATGGTGGCGGCGACTCTGACATGCCCCTGAGTGCCTTCCCTGGGACAAGGCGAAAAGGTGACAAGGCCCATCGGGGACCGCGAACCCCTCGCCTCCCTCACTCTGGGACGCGGCGGCGCGGTGTGGAGAGTGCAGTCTGGCCTGACAGTCTGGAAAAAGCCCCAAGTGGTCCTCGAACACCTCAAGCAGTCGAAGATTGCGCTGAGTGTTACACACTTTTTTTTTGGGGGGGGGGGGGGACATGTACACTGGGAACTCAACGACATACTCAAGTACGAAGTACTCGTGCATGAATGCTGCGGCAAGAGCGTTGTTTCACTGACTTACCCACGGTGCGGCCGGCTGGCCGTGGTACCCCTCCTGGCCCTGCATCTGGCCCTGCATCTGCCCCTGGCCGAGTGGCGGCCACTGCGCTGGAGCCCACTGCGCTGGCGACCACGGGACGTTGGCTGAAGGGTCACGCGGCAACAGCAACCTCGTCACTCGACGTCGGCGAAATGAGCGCAAAATCGGCCGCCGGCGGCGGGACTCGAACCTCGAACCCAGACTCGCGGCCACACCTCTACTCACGCGATGCCAGCACGCAGCCTAGGCAGGCGAGCAGCACGACGGCGACCAGGGGCACGGAAGCCACGACGACTGAAACAGCAAACGCTCAGCAAAACGACGGCGAAAATGACGGCCGCCGACGGGGATCGAACCATCGAACCCGGGCTCACGGACTCACTTGCGCGCGTTGTGGGTCTTGTGCCGCCTGCGCGTGGCATGGCGGCGCCCCGAGAAGTGGCCGCGGACTGGCGCGAAGAACGCCGGCGACGCCGACCAGTACACCGCCAAGATCGGGCGGACCCGCGGGACGGCCAAGCCGCTGCCACGCACTTCAGGGAGCGTCCCAGCCACTCGCCCGCGACGTCAAATCCCTTCTTCTCTCGGCGCGGCCGCGGGTTCGAATACCCAGCCTCGCACCGGCGTTTTCGCTCTCGTTCCCTCCGCGCGGTGACCGCGCTCGCCTTTCCTAGCGGTGTGCCTCCCTTCCCCCTCCCCGTCGATAACTGCAGACTGATTCCGAGAGTCGCTTTCGTCGCTCTGTCTCTCTCGCACTCTTGGGGCGTCCCGTGCTGGTGCGAGAGAGGCAGAGCGATGAAAACGACTCTCGGAGTGAGTCTGCTGCGGCCGGGCCGCAGGACGCCGTCGTCGCCGTCGGGGCCCGTGCACAGCGCGCAGAGCCTCCACGCCGCCGCGGACGCCGCAGACCCAGACCTGGTCGCCATGGCCGCCCCCGAGGCCCTCCTGCTGGCGGGGCTGCTGCTGCTGCTAGCGGTGCTCGGTAAGGGGTCATCCCCAAAGCGGGGTCACACTGAAAGATTCCAACGGCCGATGTAGCGCTGAGTGAAACCGAGCCACCTAGCGCCTCTGTGGAGGTCAAGTTCCTAGGGGGCGCCTCACAGGAGTCTAGGGCAGGAGGACTTTCCTGGCAGCAGGGGCGCTCGCGGCGCATGCGACGCTCGCACAGCTCGTGGAGTAGAGCCAGTCGAAGCAGCCACCGGCCGAAACTGGATCCGTAAAGTGAGACTGTTTTAGGCCTCTGCCAGGCGGGCCCCAGCCAGCTCAACTCGGCCAGCGGCGGCAGCATGCCCGCGCACAAGAAGATGCAGATCGTGGGGGGAACCTCAGCCGACATCAAGGATTTCGGTCACCAGGTAGGACGGTGCTGTTGCGACCGCGGGCCGCAGGGGTATCCATGTCCTGGGGAAAGAAGTGCCGGAGCGGGGCGCTGCACAGTGGGCCAGAAGACCGGTGGAGGCGGTCAAAACTCGAGACGCGTTTTGAGCGCCAGAGTCACTAAAAAGGACTCGAACCGAACGTGTGACCCCACCAATGGATTCCTCGTCCGGAGAGCAATCCATTGGTGGGGTCACTCGTTCGGTTCGAGTCCCGAGTGCGCTGTGCGCTCTAGCCGCGAGGCGCTGAACCAACCCCTCTATCTGGATTCTGGATCTCGCCTGACACCGACGCGTCACGCCTTTCACATCAAAGACCTGTCCGTGTCGAACCGCGCCGCGCCACCGCACTGCGATTGGCTGCGGGGTGCCAAGCCGGCCGGGCCGCCAACCTGAATGTGAATGCCGATCCGGGCAGGTCGGCGGGTGGGAATCTGAATCTGAATGGGGCGCTGCTGCAGATCAGCTGGCTGCGGCTGGGGAGGCACATGTGTGGCGGCTCCATCATCTCCCCCGACTACGTGGTCACGGCGGCGCACTGCTGCGTTGAGTAAGCCGCCCTACTCTCATGGTTCACTGACTGAAAGAAGTGTCACGGCCATGTACTACAGAAGTGCTGTCAAAATTTTCCCCATTTTCCAAAGCAAATGTCCTACGACTTGTTTGCTTCTTCTCCCAGCGTCAACCTCAACATCTCCGAGATCGTGGCGGGCAGCACGCTCATCCCCAACAGGGGCCGCGGCCAGACCACGCAGATCGTGGAGGTGCACCCGCACCCGGACTTCGACGCCATGTCCTACACGTGCGACGTGGCCCTGCTCAAGGTGTCGCCGCCCTTCAAGTTCGACGAGGTGGTGCGGCCCATCGCCATCGTGGACGTCGCCACCGCCCCCAAGACCGGCGACCAGGTCTACGTCACCGGCTGGGGGAAACTGTCGGTCAGTCCAGCTGACGCAACTCGCTCTGTCCCCCGAGACTGATTCCGAGAGTCGTTTTGGTCGCTCTGTCTCGCTGCAGTTCCGTAGGGTTGCGAGAGAGACAGAGCGACGAATCAGTGTTTGGAATCAGCCTGCCGCACAGTGGGCCAGAAGACCGGTGGAGGCGGCCAAAATCCCGAACGCGTTTTGAGCTCCAGAGTCGATAAATGGCCTCGAACCGAACGTGTGACCCCACCAATGGATTGCTCTCCGAACGAGGAATCCATCGGTGGGGTCACACGTTCGGTTCGAGTCCCATTTAGCGACTCTGGAGCCCAAAACGCGTCTAGAGTTTTGGCAGCCTCCACCGTTCTTCTGGCCCAACTGTGTGCCGCCTCCCTCCGTCTCGTTGTCTCGCTCTGCCTAGCGGTCCGGCAGTGACGTCACCGCGTGGGAACCCCCTTGACTGTCCCTCCAGGAGTTCGCCACGGCGGCGGCCACGATCCTGCAGAAGGTCAAGGTGCAGATGAAGGACTTTGACACGTGCCGCAACCGGTACGCCGAGATCCCCATGGTGCTGACCGAGACGACCTTCTGCGCCTCGGCGGACGGCAAGGACGCCTGCCAGGTGAGCACCGCCGCCCTCCTCGCGCGTGCAGCGCGGTCGAGGGTTCGAATCCCCGGTGGCTCACGTTTTCTTTTCGTCTGGGACCGTGCAGGGCGACAGTGGCGGCCCGCTGATCCAGAGGACCGAACACAAGGACTTCCTGCTGGGGATAGTGTCGTCCGGGAAAGGGTGCGCCCTCAAGGAGTTCCCGGGGCTGTACACGGACCTGCGCTCCGAGAAGATGCGGGCTTTCATCACCAAGATCACGGGCATGAAGCTGTAGCAGCAGCAGCAGACCATTTTCGGCATTATTAAATCCGCCACTGTCGCCGTGCTGTGCTGTGGACAAAGTCCCCTCCCCTTCCCCCTTTAACGCGCCCCAGCCCCCTCGCCTTGGCCGCGCTGCGTCGCCGAAATCCTTTTTGATCCCCCGCCTTGAACCCGACGCGATCCTCCCGGTTATGGAAATCCGGCGATCGCGGCGCGGGGCGGCACGGCCAGGCGCGGCGGAGACGCGACGCGCGTGCCGCATAATTTCTCATACTCGGCCGTGCGCGACTTGCGCGACGCGAACGTGGACGCCAACTAGGGGAAGTTTTCGATTATTAATTCCCCGGCCGGCATTCGGCGTGCCTTGGGGCGACAGAGACAGAGCGAGACCTCTCCGTTTTCGGTGGCCTTCGCGCTGAGATGACGCCTATGTTAGCCCGTTGGAGCGGCAGGGCAGCGAGGCAGCGAGGCGGCGCGCTAGAGACGCTGGACGGAGATGGCGCCGGGACGCTAGGGATGCTATAGAAAGGGGCACAAAGGCGGCAGCGCACAGTGGGCCAGAAGACGGGTGAGGCGGGCAAAACTCGAGACGCGTTTTGAGCTCCCAAGTCGCTAAACAGGCCTCGAACCGAACGTGTGACCCCACCAATGGATTCCTCGTTCGGAGAGCAGTCCATTGGTGGGGTCACACGTTCGGTTCGAGTCCTCTTTAGCGACTCTGGAGCTCAAAATGCGTCTCGAGTTTTGGCCGCCTCCACCGGTCTTCTGGCCCACTGTGCAGCGTGGCTGCGTCTCATTCTCGCGCTGTCGCCCTCTCGCTCCCACGCGTTGGTCGCATGCGTCGCCGACAAGGATGGACGATGAGAGGGCGAGAGGCTGGCCGGCCCGGCGCGGCGGCACCGCGTCATGAGGGCCCGGCCCAGCCGGCCGCCGCGGCGCGCGATTTGTGAATGGAGGGGGTGGGGTGGGGTGGGGCGGGGCGGTGGAGCGCCGCCAGCCAGTCGGCCGCCACCCACCCTCGGAGCCGGTCTAGTCGCAAAGACCGCTTACAGAACGCGCGGCGCGCGGCGTGCCCCACGCGTGGCCGAGACCCCCTGCACCGCGACGACGACGACGACGCCGACGCCGCGCCACAACAATGCCTCCGTGACGGCCTGACGGCGAAGCGGCCTCGGGGGTGCTGGCGCAGCGGAGCAGCGAAGCAGCGAAGCAGCGAAGCAGGCAAGTCTCCGTGGAGTTGCCGCGAGCGTGGCGCATCCCCATCCCCACTTCTGACCCCGCCACGCCCCGCCACGCCCCGCCACGCCCCGCCACGCCCCGCCACGCCCCGCCACGCCCCGCCACGCCCCGGGCAGTGGAAGTGGTAATTAACACGAGATGGCTTTATTGCTTTTATTTATCGTCGATGGAGCGCCCAGCGCGGAGTGCGGAGCGGCGCTGCCGATGGCGGATGGGTGTGCCTGGACGTGCCTGGGTGCGCCGTGCCAGTCGGGCTGCGCTGAAGGGCTGCCCCGTCAGGTCCATTAGTTCGGTTTTCAAATGCCAATTATTGGCTCCGCGATGCATGGACTGCGTGGGCGGGTGGCTGGGCCGGCGGCCGGAGGCTGTGGGAGCAGGGGAATGCCTGGAATGTCCTGGAGGCCCCCTGGCAGGGCAACGTGGTCGAGATGATGTTGAAGTGGTCAGCGTTTATCGTAAAATTCTCGACCTTCTGGGACAAATAAGTACTTTCATTTCGACTTATCAACGTAGGCGGGGCGGTCCGCCGCCTGAAGGAGATGGAGAGGCTGCCTCGCGCCTCGCGCCGCACAGTGGGCCGGAAGACCGGTGGAGGTGGTCATAAATACCGGACGCGTTTTGTGCTAAAGAGTCGCGAAATGAGACTCTAACCGAACCGAGCGTGTGACCCCACCAATGGATTCCTCGTTCGGATAGCAATCCATTGGTGGGTTCACACGTTCGTTTCCAGTCCTGTTTAGAGACTAACGCGTCTAGAATTTCGGCCGCCTGCGCCGGTCTTCTGGCCCACTGTGCCCCTCCCAAGCGGCATGTCGAACCAAATGGCTGTCAAAGCCACCGTCCTGCCGCGCCGCGTTGCCGTTCTTTTTGCCTATCGCCCTGGACGCCTCAAAAGCCGCCGCCACCAAACGCGGGGGAAATGCTACAAAAAGGCAATTGCAGAAAGAAAGTGTAGGTCAAGTCGCGGTGACGCAGCACCGGTCCCTGGGGGGCCCTGGGGCACGGGGTCCCTCGCGGGCTGGGGCGTGTGGCGGCCGAGGAACCGCCACCCCACGCCCCGCCCATCAGCGGCACGCCCTGCCTGGCCGTGGCGGCCGTGGCCTGGCCAAGCACGCGTCGCGCCGCGTCGCGCTGCACGGCGACCTGTTGCCTCAAAAAGCACCACAACGAACGCGGCAGCGCGGCACTGGCAGCAGCCGCGATGCATAGATTAACCGGATTAAATCCATTGTTTTAGCCGCCTCGCTCGCGGACGCTTTTTTAAAGCGGCGCGCGGTTCGGAAGGCAAAAACTCCGGAAGTTCAATAATCGCGTCCGGCCACCTCGCCGGCCACTCCTGACGCTACACTCAAAGCGTTGGGATTCCCAGTGCAGACCTGGAAAAAGAAGGGAAGCTGTTTGTGTTGGCGGTGGTGCACAGTGGATCGGAAGACCGGCACAGGCGGCCAAAAGTCTAGACGCGTTTTCAGCTCCAGAGTCACTAAACCAAGGGGGGCTGACTCTCCCGAACCGTGTACGAAGTATTATATATTATAGGTATTATAGAGTATTATAGGTATTATTCCGAACATTTTATTTAGATAATTGTGTCGTTTTAAGTGGTTTTCCGTGTACCAAAGGTTTCCGAAATACGCAAGTTAGTTGAAAACAAGGATTCCGGCTTGCGCTCCTGAGCCTCAAAATACTACCGCGCATCTTTAAGAGCCTCAGCACCTTGTCATCAGCCTTAGCGCCATTTCCTTACTCTAACGATCCGTCTAAAAATCGCTGAACGCCTGTTCACCACAATTTTACAAAACTTTCTCATGTTGAACCCGAAACTGCACTAAATGTGCGGCATTTTTTGGTATTATGGATTATAGTATTATAGGTATTATACAAGTATTATAGGTCTGTGTACGAAGTATTATAGGAGTCAGCCCCCCTTGCACTAAACAGGGCTCGTACCTAGCGTGTGACCCCACCAATGGATTCCTCGTTCGGCGAGCAGTCCGTTGGTGGGGTCACACGTTCGGTTCGAGTCCCGTTTAGCGACTCTGGAGCTCAAAGCGCGTCCGGGATTTGGGCCGCCTCCGCCGGTCTTCAGGCCCTCTGTGTGCTGCAGGCCTAACGCGGTGGCGGCCGGGATGAGCGAGCGGCAATCCGAGTGTGGGTGTACAGGGTTTAAGGTCTGCGCGGCGAGTTAGTAGCTCTCTCCGCAACGGGATGAGTCTTGGGGCGTAACCCGCACGCCCAGCCTCACCCCACCCCGCCCCGAGAATACGGAACGCCCACACATCCCCCGGGCCCGGTCAGGCTTCCAGCCGCCTCCTCCAGCCGCCTCAAGACCAAGGCCGACCGCTCACACTTACACTCCCCCTCTCTCTCTCTCTCTCTCTCTCTCTCTGTCACTCTCTCACTCACTCACTCACACGCCCCGACGGGGCAGCAAACAACGCGCCAGGGGAGCAGTGTGTGAGTGTGTTGACAACGGATGGATTTAGACGGGAATCTACAACGGCGTCTGCGGCTGGCCGGTTTAGAGGACCCGTATGTGCCGTGATACGAGACTGCGCGCGTTTTTGTGTGTCTCTCTGTAAGTGTGGCTCTAAGGGGGTGGGTCGGGTTGGGGGCGGGGTTGGGGCTGGGGTAGGGGTGTGGGACTGGGTTGGGGGTGGGTTGGGGGTGGTGTGTCATGTGCCGTAGCGACTTTCTTCGAGTCTTTACATTCCATAAGGTCATAAACGGCTCGGTCATCTTTGGCGGTCTATGAAAGCGCCCACACACTCTCTCTCTCCATCCTCCATCACCACCACCACCACCGCCTCGTCGACCACCAATTGCGTGCCCTTCCCTCGAAGCTAAAATCCCTTCTCGCGATCCCTCCACGAGCTCATCACCGAGTCCCCTTCCGGCAACAATGTGTAGCGCGGCGCGGAAACTGTGAGCCCAACGCCTCACCCCGCCCCGCCCCGCCCCGCCCCCGCCCCGCCCCGCCCCGCTTTACTGCCCAATCCCGTAGACTGTGATAACGTTTTTCGATCCTCTTATCACGTGCCGACTGGCTGTGCCGATCATCGTCCTAGCCCCGAATAAAAAGGGAGTCGTAAAAATGCACTCGTATTTTTCATCACACACACAGACACAGACAGACACACACATAAAGGCACACACACTCACACACACTCACACACACTCACACAGTCACACACACACACAGACAGACGCCTTGCAGTCTGGCCGCAGCGTCCACATTGTTTTCACATGAAACATGGAGGCGCGGCAAGCGCGCACGCCGCCACGCCACGCCGGCCGCGCCGCCGAGAGGACCGCGATAGAGACATTCTGGGCGGGTGTCGGTTAGCGCGGCCATGCGTGGGCAGAGCCAGCAGAGCCAGCAGAGCCAAGGGCAGCGCAGAGCGGTCGGCTGCCGGAGAAATTATGAGACTGCTCGTGCAAATCCTACCTTTTTATATGGGGGCTTTCGGAAAAACGCGGTGACGTAAAAGTCCAGAGAAAACTCGCAGAAACTATGAAAAAATTTACGAAGTATTTTTTCTCTGGGAATCTCCAAAGTATGTTCTTTTAGCAGTGCAATCAAAACGGAAGGCTTCACTCGGCAATGCGGGGAAGCCCCGGCCGGCGAGGCGGGTAACTCCACTGAAATTTTCAGAGTCGGGGCGTTGTTTAGCGTGGCAGCATGCCCTTTGGCCGGGCAGGGAGGGACGGTGTGGAGTTGCCCCTGTGAGACTCCAGACTCCAGAATGGAGAAAACCCTACTTTCTGGAGCGGGCGCGGTGTGTTGCCCCACAAGTTGCTAAAAAATTGCCTGCGACGCACTAGAA